GAACGTGATGCTGCTTTCATTATTTGAGTGAGCGGTGTAAAAAAAAATGAAAAAGAAGAGGAGAAAAAAGTAATTTCGGTACGGCTAGACTCTAAATGATTGATCCCCCCAAAAGCATTAATCTTTTCTGAGCAGGTCTGCTCCCATCATTTATTTTTTTTGAACACCTTTACCAATTCATTTAGGTCCAAAGTCAAACACTGAATATCTAATGGTGAAAAAAAATGCCCTTTAGCTTAGAGCTGAAAGATGACACCTCCCTTTTTATATTAATTTCTGAGCACTGTGAAAATGGAGGCTGTGTGAAAGAGGTCTGTCATCACAGATTCAACTTTGTCCATCTCTGTCAGTGTCCACTGCCAGACTGCATGTCGCAGAGTGGACTGGTGTTTTTGCAGGGAATTGACAGTGGCCCTTCTTCACAGCGTATCATTCCTTGTGAAGAGAAATTAAATTCAATTGTTTCCACCATGGAGACATTATTGTGGCCGATTTCAGGGAAGATTGATTTTGATTACTGAAAGGAAACAGAGGAAGAAATCTGCCTTCTTTTGACAGATATAGAGATTTCACAGCTAGAATCTAGAATGCCAGAAAGTGTGAATACAGAATGAAATTTTCAAAGAAAAAGCAATATGATTTCAGTGCTTTTTATACTTCTTATGATACTATTTGAATTATTTTGGAATTGTTAGTTGTTTCCCCCTAAATGCTTTGGACTCTCCAGTGTGACCACTTCAGATTGATTCACACACCAGTCTGAACCCTCTGCTGCTTCCCACATAACAGATGCCTGATTGCTCTGCAGGAGATGGGTGACAGATTGTTGTTCGCTGTTGTGCAACCAGCTAAGGAAGTTGTCCCAACTCTCACCCATCCAATGCTGGTACAGTAGTACTCAGCCAGTCGTGTCTTTGAAACGTTCTAAGTTGGTAAATACATCATCAGTACCTGTAAGAAGTGCAGAGAGGGACAGAAAGAGCTAAATGTATTAATAAATGCTTTTGGAACTTGTCAAACAGTAGCATGAAATTTTGATGAGTTACCCAGTTCAGTTGCGAAGGAATGAGTTGGTGTAATGCTTTGCCAAAAGGAGACAGCTTTTCCTAAATCTGTGCTTTGCTTAAGTGTAATGTTCATATTGGGGAGCATGCGTTTGAATCTCATAAAAATTTAAATGTCAATTTTTCTGGCACCAGCAGAGAGAGTGGTGAAAATGACAGAATTATCAAGTACAAAATGCTTTAGAAAGAGAGGTTGGGGTTATTATGACAGTCTTTGCTAAATGCTAATGAGTGATGAGTCTGAGCAAGAATTCGAAGATGTCTAAAGCCAAAGTAAATGAATCCCATGAAACCTTTTCATTTACCTGAGTTAGCCTCATATTTGGGAGCCTCTGTTGATGCATAAAATTAAGATAGCTCTTTCTCCAAAAGGAAAGCATGTATCCTAACGGAACACATTGGAATGTATGAGATAGGAAGAGCTGTAGCTTGTCCTAGCTGTGCGCAGACCCACCATAGCCGGATGTGTGATTTTGATATGAGAAACTCCAGTCTCTTCCATCCGGCAGAGAAGCTGGACCACAGCTACTGTAAACACTCCTCCCAGGGCTTCAGTTTTTTAACCCTGCCCTTGAGGTCCAGGGCATAATTAGAGAGTAATCATAAAGGTTCACAAATTGATTCCTTCCAGTGTCTTTTCTACAGCAATGCAGTAAAAGTATGTGGATTTGGAAAAGAAAATATCAGAATAGGTCTCTGAATGCACAAACACAATAACTCATGTACTGTAGTCTGTCTCCTGCCTGCTTATGTGCTGAAATCATAAGAGTCATTGAGTAAAGGTCTGTGATTACAATACTGTGCAAGTTTTAATTTTCAAAAGGTCTGAGACATAGTGAGGGTTTGCTGTTGCCATCTATGATTACTTTCCAGTTTATTTCTTTTTTAAAAACTCCAGAAAGACTTGTTTTAGTCAGCCAGATGTTTCACATCTAATACTTAGCAAGGCTGTCATTATCCAGCTGGATGAAACCCTTCTGACCTCAGTCTGACCTCAGTGTCGGGTTAGGGTTGAGCTTTGGCAGGGGTTAGGGGTGCAATGTAGGAAAATTAGACTACACCTGCATTTTTTCATAAAACACCAACGGTTAATGTTCCATTGTTGTGAAAGAAGAATCTTGGAATTTATTTTTTGTAATCCCACACAAAAAAAAGTTGAAAAAGCAAGGAGCATATTACCTTGGAGGATTTTATAATGAGGAGGAAAATACAGATACTGGATTTCATTATGCATTACTGCCAGAGATTAAATGGCTTCTATCATGGACTGAGCGTCCTCTGGGGATGAACTTTAGATGGGGTGGGGGAGGGGTTTCCACGCTGTGTTTGTTTCAATGCTAATAACTTGACAGTTGGTAATTGAGAAGCTGGGAGGTGTAATCCTGACAGTAATTTTATTACAGTTACAGCAGGCTGTAAAACAAATTGCCTTTTTGTTATTTCTTTTTAATTAATGTAAAAATAAATATATACTGTAGAGAAAGAGATCTCCAGATCTAATACAATTGATGGATCAGTAAAAACCAGAATCAAGTAAAACTACCATTTATATACCACCCTTCAATATAGAATAGATGCTTTAGCACTTTTAAAAAAAAATCCCCAATTAATTTTGTGTTTTTATTTTTTCTGCAATTAAGTAACACTATATGTATAATTGGAGAGTGAGCAACAGGAAAACATGAGCCTCCTTTTATGCACAAAAGACATCGCTCTTAGATGGCCATTCGGTACAGATTTCCATTGCTATTTTGTCGATGACACTTCAGTTTAGATGGTGCAAATAACCTATTTTGCAACGTTGCTAACGCTGAATCATAAATGAGCACCACGATAAACACTATTAAAGACTACATTCATTCTGCAATCAATTCACTGAATTATTATAACTCAAATCACTCACCAAACTTGTAAAACGAATTAAGTTTTGTTTTGCCATGTATTCTAAATAAAATCACTTGATTGTTTTCATAATACTCTGGTTTGACCTATATTCAGTTGAAAATGATGCCTTGTGTTCAAATTGGCCTAGGTTTAACAGAAGCGCTGTTCATTTAATTGTTCCTTTGTTATACATTTTAATTACACTGTTTGGCGTAAGAGGTTGCAGGAGTGTGTGAATAACTTCCCTAAAGGGGAGTGCAGTCCTGATGGGCATGAAGTAAGAGGAGCAATAGTGTCATTTTCTTTTTGAAGGGGTTATTTTCTACTGCAACATACAGAACCACTGTTGGCAGGACTCAGGCCCATTATCTCCATCTGATGACGTCCTGTGAAATTTGAATGGTCAACAACAAAGATAAAAGCACTTCTCATCCCTGGCGGTTTGATTGATGAGGCCTATATAGAACAAGGTCATTGTAGAGATGCTTCTCTACTGATTGCCTAAACAACAAATGTAAAACAGTAACAAACAGGAAAAGAAACCATACAGTATATACTGTATATATGCATTCTTAGATATAGGATAATTTTATGATGAGTTAAGAGAGTGACAGGGAGAGACAGGCACAATAGAACAGAGCAGCTGTCTACAGTTTGACCTGAGGACTAAGAGTCCAGGTCGTGGTCTCATTATCCTGCTCAGAAGAAACGATCAGGGGGAATTGTGCTGGACCCAACAGCACTCATTACCCTTTACAGATATTTACAAGGCAGCAGGTAATAGCCCTGATTCAAAACAGTTAAGCTCAAAGCTAAGGTGAATGGTCAAAGGCATCTGCTATGACAAAGTAATGAGTAGAAAAAACAGACCTTTATTTGTGACATTTTCATTCTTCCCTTTCTGCTGGAGACACAGAGCTTTTTTTTTTTCCTCCCTTGAATCCCCTCTGTCAATTCACAGACCCCCAGTTCACTCATCTGTTTGCTTGAGTGACACGTAAAGTACAGGATTTCAACTAATTTTGCTTCAGTTTCTTCTTTAAAAGGTATTATTTTTTGCATCACTCAGAGAGTGCTTTATTTCACTACTGAAGATGCTTAATAAAGTTACACTCTACAGCCACCTGCCTCAGGGGTGTGTGCGTATTAGTGTGGGTGTGGCAGTATTGGTATTGAATATAAACTGTTAACATTATCTATGTCAAAATGACAGTTTCATCACTACTGCAGCTAACTGCAATATAAATTCTTTCCACCTAGACCATAAAAATCTATAGTAAGACCTATATTGCTTTTAGAGCCACCCTTTTGCTTTACTAGTTTTATTATTATGGGAGTCTTCCTTGCTATCTACTTCTCTTTAAAAAAAAACGTCCTTTGCATTTGACGGTGCTGTCTGACATATTAAGAGTGTTGTACAGGAAAGACTCTACTCCAGATACAGAGCAGGGGTTCTGCATTTTTATTATTCATTTCAATACTGTCTGCATGGATTAGGTAATTGTTCAGTGTTTGGGTATACTGAAGAGTTTGAATGGCACTTCAGGGAATCGTAATGCAATAATCTGGCGATCAGTGGGGTGCATTAGTTTGGGAAGCACAGGTACTGTATCTGTGCAGCAGGAGATTGCTTTCTGTTTTGTTTTAACAACGGAAGATGTGCTTTATAAGCTACTTTGCAGATTAGCATACAGATTATCACAGAGGAATACACAATTGTATCATTCTAGAATATGTATTCAAATCAGAAACAAAAGGAGCAAGGAAACTGGTCTCTAAGCTAGGTTTTTGCACCTGTCCATTCTCCTCTATAATCTGTCATTGGGCTCAGCTCTTTTTTGTAATCATGTGTCTCCTTTATTTTGATTTTCTGGAAGCTGCTGTACACGCCTGGCTGTTTTTTAGGGATCCAGAATGATAAGGCTTTCATTATGACGTCATGACTTGGCTGACTGTGAAATAAATATTTCAATGGTTAAGAATGGTGAGTCAGAGACAGCCTCCAAGCCTCCCAGTACAAGCTAAGTGTCTCCCTCCTCTCCTCTCTTACAGGTTCACTGGGCCCAACCTGCCCTCTCCTGTCATTAGCAGTAAGAACTGGCTGAGACTTCACTTCACATCTGATGGGAACCACCGACTGAGGGGCTTCAGCGCACAGTACCAGGGTGAGCCACAAGGCCACAGGGCAACTGGAAGAAAAGCTTTCAATGTGACAGCCTGGGTTTGAAATGCACTTGTAATGCCATGGGTCGTGACCGATTGTAGTTTTAATGTAATAGTAGTACAATCCTGATATGCCAGTGTAATCTTATTATAGTTTGTGTAATTGAAGATCAATAAGAATTTGGTTACATCTCTGTTTCATTACGTTCAGCCTACTGCGTTCGTCACTGAAAAAAAAATATATCACCGTAATGGAAACTGAAACTTTGGACACCAGAGCTGCAGCAATTCTGAGGTCTGCTTATAGACAACCAGGACTCAATCCACTCTCAGATTCTCCCTTTCTTTCCATTCTCCTCACCATAAATACCTTCTCAAGTTAAGAAGGTGCTGACACTGGCTGACACTGTGCACATCTGCAAGTTTTGTGAAGGGGGTAAATGCAGAAACTCACAAGGCCTGCTCTGAAAGCACAGAGATTACACAGCAGCAGGGAGATTTGCACAGTTTTGTGTATTTCTGTCCCTCAGTAATGACAAAACATCCCTCAGTGCCTCACTGGCTTGGCCTGTAGGATATCTGGAGATCTATGAGTACAGCCCTCACATTTATTCCAAAACTAGACGCTGGTGTACGATACACCCTGTGCATGAACTGGAGAAGAACTGTTATTAAAGTTGTGATGATCATTTTATTGCTTTCTTCTTTGTCAAAATGCCATCAAGAAACCACACACACGCAAAACAAAACAAAGTTTTCTGTATAATTTTAATTGGCAAGGGTCTAGAAGAAGATAGGGGCACTTTCAGGGATTTGTATTCCCTGCAGGGTTGTGGTAGCAGCACTGTATACCTGCAAACAGAGAAGCTTAAGGTCAACAAAAAGGGACAAGCTGAGAAGATGAAAAAGCTGCTACCGTCTGCTGCGCTGGGGATCTCACTCCCAACAACAGGGCGATCCTAAATGGAGAGGATGCTTAAGAAGAAGATAGGATTACAGGTTCTGTGTAAAATAAATGAAAAAAAGGAATGGGACTAAGCACTTAATTAAATTTCCTATTGATTTCTCAACACTAAGGGATAACCTGTTTCACTGGGACATGCTCTTAGCGTAACAAGCCACTTAGACCCATCTCTTCCACTGCCCTTTCCCTGAAAGAGATTAAAAGACGAGAGATAAAAGGCTTTTTTCACTCTCTGTACAAGGAGCCACCCCATTTTGTGAGGGTTTTTTTCACTGCAATAATGCCTCTGACTTCCAGAGAAGACTTGAATTGCTGCTTCTGTAAGACATCTCTGGGATGATCTTACAAGCTGAGTGTTACTGAACCTGGAAAGGACTGGATTTCTTCATTTGTGATGTTTCTGAAGATTTTTTTTCTCAGAGCTGGGCTCCACGTGGGTTTTCGTTCCACAGGTTGTACAAGTCTACAAATGTACTCGAACAAGTTGTATGAAGTTGCAAAGACTGAAAACGTGAACACTGGGTTTCCAGTCAGAACCATTCTGCAATCTACTCACTGTATGTATAGGAAATGGACATGATCTAATCACTCCCACTTTCTTCAAAATAAAATATACCGCTATTATTCAAATGTTCAACTGTATGCCTAAATGCATCTTATAATAATCCCATCTTTAGTTGTGTGGAAACAGTAGTGATAAGGTTTCCTTTCTTTGAGAGAGGTGACATGATTCTTCTGATCAGTAGCTGAATCATTAAACACTCATTGATATTTCTGTTTTATAGCAATCCTTCTTAGCACAAAGGACTTACAACTCAGCATTTATCAATATTTTACTGATGTTTGATGTTTAAGTATGCTATTTCTAAGCATGCATTATTTATAAATAAGCATGAAACTCTTCCAGTCACTACAAAATCTGTTCCAGTTAAACTTGGGCTGAATATCATTGGTAAATCAAGTCTTACCTGGATATTTTTATTTACTGATATTTAATGACCCAGTCATCCAGGAAAAGGCACATTCACATGGCTAATATTTTTTCTTGGAATTCTCAATATGTCAGTCTGTGCAAACAAAAGGTAGCAGTCAATGGATTGTTTGTCCATGAAGTCTGAACAGTTGTGCATGTCTCACATTCAAATGTACAGTACATGAGTATAATTCTTTTACCAAGTCCTGTCAAATCCATCTTTTAATGACTTGCTCATAATGAACTACTTCCAGACCCTCAAGACTGAACTTGCATTAGTCTGTTATATTAGGAAAGCAGAAGAGGTCTGTAAGGGCACAGTGCTGTGGGACTAGACACAGAACATATAGGCACACTTTTGATCCTCAGAGGCTCCGGTGCCTCTGTAGATTGCATGTAGTGTTTAAATATAGACTGTTCAGGTTTCAAAAACAAATACTCTGTGCTTTGTTTAAACACAGCGTGCTGGTTGTCTGGATGAGTGCTGTAAGCAGTGTTTAAACATGTCGTTGCCAACTGACTGCATTAACAGTGTGGGCCCCCTTTTCTTCTTGTTTGTCTTCCCCAATGGCTCACTGCTTGTGCTTCTAATTGCAGTGAAGAAAATGACTGAGCTGAAATCCCGAGGTGTGAAACTGCTCCCGAGCAAAGACAATCACCAGAAAATATCTGTCTGTGAGTTTTTTGCGTTTTCCTTGCAAATCCGGCAGTCCAGATTTAGACACATACTGTTTAAGTCCCTATTATCTGTTAATTCCCCCTCTCTCCTTGAATTTCCTTGTTCTACTTCGAATTATTACTTTTTCACCACAACTGTGACAGACAGAAAAGAATTGACGTGCCTCTAACCATAACAACCGCTCAGGTATTTTCTTGGCAAAAATCACTTACAAATTGGGGGTTACGATTATTTATTTTTATTGACAAATCCGCTCGGCCACTTCCTGGTGTTCTCTATTTTTGTCACCCCCTATTTGTAACAATAGAGCCACTGCTAGTGTGCCCAGAACTTGTACTGTAAATGTAGAAATGACTCAACATAGAATCGTGGAATTCCACTATTTCAAGTTTTAGAACGATTGCAGTCCCTGGATTCAAAGAAAGTCCGAACTGTTTCTGTCCTCCGAGTCACCGGCCCGTTAAGGTGCAAAGAGCAAGCAGAGGCATCTCAGTTCTAGTCCGCTTGACAGTTCAACTGCAGCAGCCACACCGAAAGCTGACATGGGCCTGGTAATGAGATCTGACATATGTTGATTGGAAAGTCACAAGAATATGGATCTCATGCATATTAATATGGGACAAAAGGGCAGCTTTATCAGGGGAGGTTGGGGGATTTATGTAACTCAATTTCACTGGCATCTCCCTGGGTAGCCCACATGAAAATGTGACATTTTCTCACAATGAACTTAGAGTAATAGAAATGTAAATAACACAGCTGCCTCATATTAACCATAATGCTGCAGCTGAATGGGAGACTTTCTTCCGAATGGAATGGGCTCACCAAGACATTAGTGCATGTCCTGATTGCTGTCCGTGGCATGCTGTAAGACCAACAGTAACTAGGACAAAAGCAGTTGAATAGTGGAGCCATGTTCATTTTTCAAAGGGGTTCCTTGTGTGGAACTTATCAGGACTGGGGGCATGATTATATTGGAGATATGCCCTGTCTCTACCAGCACATTTGCTTTTTTTCTGTTCATTTTTTTACCCAAAAAGTAAAAAAAAGTGGTGGTTGTCCACTGTCCTCAAGAAATGGTCAGATCTTTTGGGCTCAGGACTTGGAGGTACAGGCTGCACTTCTTCTGCGTCAGCTTAAAGAGTAAAAACATTTTTATCAGCCCAGCCAGATGGTTACCACAGCAAACTCTACCAGTGCAAAAGGCCAAACAGTGAATTACAAAAAAGGGAAGGCAATGATCTCTTTCATCTTATTATTTCACTTATTAATAGGCTTTTATAACTTTCACTGACAACATATGATGCATTAAAAATTAATAGAAACCATGCATGTGAACTCCACAATGTAGGTTTTTAACTAATTTAACTGTATTTGATTTCTGCCTAAAAATTGTATTTGGAAACTTTGTCTTGTATGTATAGTTTCCTTGCATACAAGTGCTTTAAGATAATCCTCACCATGAAATTAAAGACTACCACATAAAAATGGACTGATTTTATCTCCTCAGACCTAAGGTGAGCCCTCTCTCAGGTTTTTTTTTACACTCCAGGACCAACTTTCTAAGCCAAGTAGAATACAACCTGCAGTTAAATCTCTCTCTATAAACCAACTGAATGGAAACCTATTTCCTGATTCTAAAATGCACCCACAAAGCAGAAGAGATTTTTAAATGAGGTATTCTTCACTCGGGAAATCAGAGTACCCAAAAACTACAGAATAGCAAGCTCTCTTAAGAAGATTCAAATACTTGCCTTCAATCTCGTCTTTCCAGGTGATCTCAAACAAAGAACTCTCACCTTATATCTCTCTCTTGAGGTCCCTCCTCCCTTGTCCTTCATTGTTTTATATGGTACAGTATCTCTCTGGACTGTTGATTGGTACTGAACCATTTACCCAGAACTTAACTAACTAAAGTAAAACAAGGTAAACCTTATGATTGCTTTGATCACAGAATCTGGGCCCCCTACATCTCAGCAAACATCCCCTTTGCTTGGAAGCTGGAAATGTTTATTTCGATTTTTAGAGACACTTCATTGTCACTTATAGTTTTAACCGTATCATGAAGAAATGATTCATGAAGGTTTTTAATGAGAATAATTTGTTTAACTCTCTTTCAAATTTGTTCCTTTCAAGAAAAGGAAAATGTTTTCAAAATGATAAATATCGTACATTAATATAAAGATGTATCTTTAAGATATGCATGAATTAGTAACATTTTTTATAAAAGCCCTGTAATTACACTCATGCACATGGAGCTGCAGGAACAACCAGTGTGTTGCTGCAGGAGGACAAGATGTATTGATCACTGATGAATCTCCAGTCTTGAAGCCTTGTCTGATTTCTCTCTTCACAGTGTCTCAGATGGGTGTGGCTCAGGGGCACAACATGTGTCCAGACCCAGGAATTCCTGAGAGAGGCAAGAGAAAAGGTTCAGACTTCCGGTAAGACTGCGCTTCACGATTTAGGAAATAAACATGAGCTTTTCTGATACCAGGCTGTTGTCCACCCCCATCCTTATGTCAGCGCTGCACCAGCACAGAATGGCATACTTTTGCAGGGCATAAAATGCTTTAATTGGCACAAATGTCAGGAATTACACTGTCCTAACACAATCTTAATTTGCTTCAGAAGAACAAGGTTAAATTCTGCCTGTCAGAAGCTCAATGTAAGTCCAGTGTTTCAATAAATCATCCCATAATCCTTAGACTTTGAAAGAATGGATATTTCTAGTGTTTTGGCATATGAAAAAATATTCAATACCAAAGTGACTTAACTTTGTCAAAATCTAGAAATTCTTTTTAATGGGTTGTATCACATCCATTTAAATACTCTGTGTTGTAACTATTCATGTTTCATTCAGACAAACTTGCAATTTTGGAGATAATGTACAGTGATGCCTGGTCTTATTTGTATTACTTGTATTACTTGTATACTTGTTGTCCTTGTAGTCATTATAGTTCAACCCTGCACATTTAATTGGTTCTTTAGCAAAATCTTGCTACATGTATGTTGGAAAAAATATACTGTTTAGTGAATGCTGTGGTAGTTGCACACTTACCTTTAATGAGACCTGCTGTGCTGATGCTATTCAGAACTTGAAAATAGAAGGGAAATAAAAGTCTCACTACTCCAAACATATCATACAGTACATGCCAGCTTGCATCAATGCCTACACCCTCTATTACAGATGCAATAAGCCCCTTAATTATTTAATTATTTGTTGTTAACAGGATCACTCCATTTTAAGTACTGATTGTTGTGAAATGCTGAATGTTGATTTTCCCTGCTTTTCAATATATGTATAAAAGTACACCTAGTATCTATAGGCAATGTTAAGCTGGTTGTTGTGTACCAGCTGTAGCTGTCTTCCACGGTCCAAGGAACTAGGGGTTAAGACCTGCTTTAGGACTCAGTTTAACAGCTTTATTCAATTTTTGATGTGAACATGTCCTTCTCTCTTAGAAGTCTAGCAGTAGCCATATTTCTATCCATACAGTATGGAACAGGACAGTGAAACAGCTGCAGGGCACGTTACATACAGCATTGGAGTTTAGCCCTGCTTTAACACTCTGCCCTTGTGTGCTGCTCCAGACATGCCAGTCTATCAGGATTGTCCCATGTTCATCCAGGGATTCACAGGAGCCAGAACAATCTCTCTTTAGCCTGAATTTGGGATTAAAGCATCGCTGAGCACAGGAGCACATCTGATTTTCACTTCTCAGCAGCCTGTCTGTTTTCCTCTCCATCATTTCCTGCCTATTTTTTGAGTCTGATATTTTTTTTCAGTTTGAGTCTCTTTACATCTATGAGAAGAAAAAAGAATAATTGAGGCTGACACAAATGCATAACCCATATTATTACACTGGGATACATGAATGTACTGTAGACTGAGATTGCAAACACATCTGGTCCAGTATAGCAGAGTAAAAATAGTGGGTAGTAAATAAATATTAATACTTAGAGCAGATAACAGCATAACACCCAACACCATGCAGATCCTTGTAGGGAAAAGTTCTGTCTTCTTAGCTTTTTCTCATTTGTTTAGAGGACTGAAAGTATGTTGACCTTTTGGACCTGTGTGTTTTGCACACCTGTGCTGATATGTGTGTCACTTTTTCTCTTGCTCCTAGGCGGGGTTCCACTGTGCACTTTTCCTGCGACGAGGGGTACGAGCTGCAGGGCTCAAAGAGCATCACCTGCCTCCGGGTGACGGACAGCTATGTTGGCTGGAGCGATGATCGCCCATTCTGCAGGGGTAAGGGCTGGGGTGCACCTTCTTCATCCTACTGTATATGGGCATAAGGCACAGCACGGCACACCTCACAAACTCCACTGACATGCTAAACCATCCTTTTGCTGATGTTAGTGTTGTAATGCCCCCATTCATTATGCATTGTAGTTTAAGATAGTACTTGACAGAGAGTAAGCTAGGTATTGAAAGAGATAGATGGAAAGAGAGCATTTACCTTTATTCTGATTTTCCCCCAATTCATGCAAATGATATGTACACATAGAGAAGAAGTAACCATATTTCATTATGTCTTTTCAACACGTATTGCTTCCTAATACAGTTCATGCTTTGTGCCACTTTGGAAATTTACTGCCTAAAGTTGAAAAAGTCTGTAATAAATCTTTATCATAATGAAGAGGCTCATTTCCTTTGTCTTGCCAGTGAGAACTGAATCTGAGATGAGCAGAAGTAAATAAAATCCCTAGTTTAAAACCTAAAATGCACCTTTTAGCGAGAAGTTGCTGTACCTCTCAAGGTGTTTTGAAGGTGGCACTTAATGTTTTACAAATACGTAACTGTCATGAGGTTGTTTTATTATTTTGATTACCTGTCAGCCCGAGACGAGAACGTGGCTGTAGGCTGAAGATTAACTGCGAGTGGCAGAGAAATGTAACTGCGAAGGAGAAAAAATGGCTTTAAAATCCCTGCCGGTACAGGATGGCTGACTCAGGAGAGATGAGGGCTTGATGGCTCCAGCAGGCCCCCGTGCTCTGGTGCCGTTGTACCGTATACCCCGAAAGACAGATACAACGCACCAGACACCCCAACAAGTCAGGCAGAGCAGAAATGTAGTGAGTAAAAAATTCTCAACTCAGCCTTGGACGCAGTGTTTTAGCAGCGCGTGCACAAGAAGCTTCTGTGATTATTCACTCTGAATCCTCTCAGAAGTACAGGGACTCCTTCCATGTATGGTTGGTGGCTCCTGCCTCATTTGCCTGGATCCAAACTTGCTCTTAGCTTGATGGGTGCATCTCCGTGGCGACCAGGCTGGACTTTCCCAATCTAACGGGGTCCAGCCTGGGAAAAAGAACTTGCTTGGCACAGCGGTATCCCCATTGGATTTCCCCTGTTTAACGGGGTCCAGTCTGGGTTAGCGGGGAGCTTAAGGCCGAACTCAACCTGTCCCGATGGGAGATGCACGTCGGGAGGGGGAAAGAAGGGTCAGCCTGCCCCGCTGGAGGTACAAGGTGGGACGGGTGAAAGGAAAACGAAGGAAAAACAACGGCCTTGCACTCAGTCACAATCCCCCTCCGGGGCTGTCGATGGAAGGCTCCTCCCCTTGTGGGGGCCTGCTTGTCCCTTCGGGAGGCGCTCTGTGTGTCTTAAAGCCCCCCAGCTGTGACTCGTCATTAATTAGGCAGAACAGCTGTGATTGCTAAGGCAACACGTCACCCTTAATCTAGGGCTCTGCCTCCACACTGAACACGCCCCCGCATAATACCACAATAGATATTACTGGTGCACGTTTCACAGGCAGTATCCTAAGAGGCTAAATGTACGTGATTACTTTGCGCTGAAAGCTCCTTTTGCTTATGTGAAAATACTGCTTCACAAGCACTTACAGCGACACTACTGTGGTGAAATGACCAAGTGATGTGTCAAGATGACAAATGAGATCTAAGTGATATGTATATAAAATTAATGTACTTTTTTGTTCTGTGTACATTATCCAATATACAAAATCTATACACATTTTAACACACACGGATGCATAAAAGATCTCTAAGGCAATGGTGAGGGATACGCATGGTTTAAAAAAATGGTTGACAGAGAACCAGACAGAATTCTGATATCATAGTCAAAGATGCAAAGACAGGCAACATAAACTCGGAGCTTATCTGTTCTCCACCGGAGCTAAGCAGGGAGGCACACAGTGCAAAATTTAATGGTAATCTCCAACTTTAATCCTCTTACTTAACTCAAGATGATTTTGATTAATTAATATGTTCTTATCTAACTATCTAACTTTTACCCTTTCTATTTCAGAACTGCATTCAACTACAGTAACAGTGTGCATGTTAGATAGAAGTCCCTTGGGACTATTCGGTGTCACGTGTTTCTTATTATTATGTGCTTTGCTTTAGATGTTCTTTGTGAAGCAACTGCAGTAGCATAAGTCTGGCCAGTACAGTTTATATATCCTGTTGAGGAGTTACGAGTCATTGTGATCGTGACCACTGGAAGTAATGAGACAATGGCACAGCAAAAGTACATGAAGCAGATTAAATACAGCAGGACTACAAATTAGTCAGATGTGTGAGAGACTACAATCAGAAGAGTTCTAATTCCACAGGGTTTGTAAGTGGAAATTGGACAACACAATCTAATTTAATCTTTTGAATTTAATCAAACTTTTGAGAACAGCTTCCGTTGGAATTTTAGAATGATAAACTGCTGATAAATCCAAATCATGAATTTCAGTTGCTTTCTTAATGAGCAACGGCTTTCTGTTTATTTCTCTCTTAGGAAGCTTAGAATGCTGATTATAGATGGACAGTTTAACAAATATCCTAGGTTAATATAATAAAGAACAATAAAATCTTCAATGTACTACATGTAATTTACTAAAGTAATAGCCTGTAATTTACTAATTAAATGAATTGTCAGGATTGGCTCAAAACCCTTCTTAAGTCTTTTTCTCTTTCTAAAAATTCTTGGAGATTTATTTGTCTGAGTTCTTGATTCATTGTAAAATGCAGTCATAATTGGCTATACAGAGCATAGCATGTTTTTGTTATTCTATAATTATTATACAAAACATTGCTAAGAAAGAAAGCATTGAAGCAAAAGTTGTGCATTACATCTTTGCAAACAGCCATGATTATTATATAGAGATTAATAACAAAATAAAACAAAAAATACATGTATTACTTAAAAACCAAAGTTCCTATTCATCTTATAATAAGAATAGCCTGTTTTCTATTAGACATACAGTATATAGAGGAGAGTGGAATTGGATTTCTCAGAGATCCCACTATTAAGGGTAATCCCACAATTATCCCAGTTCAGTGGAATTTGACGGCTTTTCTGTGTACATATAAATAGCAGATTTAGATCCCATTGACTCCTAGAAAAGTTAACTAATGATGCACTTTAACTTAAAGATACCTCATTATGGCACACCATGCTTTCAAAGGGAAAGAGATGGAAAACACCTTGAGGGGGTAACATTGGCTGTTAAATCAGATTTTTTATAATAGGCTAAGGATTGTGCTGAATTATACTTCATATAATTGAAGAAGGAAGAAGCCTCTGGCAATCAATAGCTCCCCGTCAGCACTCAAGTTGGTGATCAGCATTTGGCAGATATGTCAAAGCTATGATGTAATCCAGACACACTTAGAGAACTAAAGTCCCATTTGCTCCTGTCTTCACCCTGTGTGGTGTGACGGGCCTGCTGTAGGAAAAAAAAAATCTGATTTTACATGGCTTCTGGCTTCTGTCTTGACAGTCATTAAAAGAAAAAGAAGAAAAAAGTTTTTTGACTTCACAGGAAAAGTGGCTGGTGTGGTACAAGAGTTCACTCCTTTAATGAGTTCATTATAACTAACATTACTAAAGATGTCCATTTCATCTTGAAAGTCTACTTCCTTTCATTCTCCAAGATAGCATTGCTTTCATTCAACCTTAAAACTTCTTTTATTGTATCAACACCTCTTTCCATTTGCAATGATTGAAAGTCTCTCTAAATGATACTTAGGGGACCCTCAGGAGAGTTAATTTTCTTAAGGAATTTAAGAAGTAGAATTAAGGAATTGTGTTAAAAATACTTTTAATTAACTTAGATTTCATTTAGATGCCTTAATTGCTACTTAGATGCTGAGAGACAAAATATAAGCAGGAACATTTTTTGATGTGATTGGTAATATTTGATGAAAATCAAATTAGCCATTAGCCATGCAGATTTACATACAGAATTCCAAATTTCAAAAAGGAAAATTCATGAGGTTTTTTTAAAAATTTCAGCAGTGGAAGCTTCATTTCCACTAATAGGAAGTGCTCTGCACTGAGAATATTCAAAACATCTGTTTTATATTCGCTGAATGAAGCCATCATCTCCAATTAAAAATGGCTTTTCTTTGTTTGTGCAGTAATATCCTAGTGTATTATAAGTTTCGCTTTACCAAAGATAATGATGGCTTTAGATGAAATAATGTTTTAGTATTTTGAGGTCATATCAGATTAAAAGATGTCTACAGGGCTCATACTAATCCCTCTCTTGATTTTCCTTGTAGCTCCAATGTGTGGGGGGCAGCTCAGAGGCCCCACAGGACTCATCACTTCCCCCAATTTTCCTGTGCAGTATGACAACAATGCCAACTGCACCTGGGTGATCACTGCCTCCGACCTCACCAAGGTACCGTATCCCAGCCTTCTGCACTCTTGAGTGTCCCTCAGCGCAGTGACTCTTCTCTTCTATCACCCCCTGCAGGTTGTCGACACATTACCTGACCTGAAAGACTATCGTTTATTTAACTGTTGAGAATGCACTACATAGTTATAGAAATGGGTGAAGTCTGAAGCTTAATTAAACATCTTAGATGCAAAAGTTAAATTCTTCATTTTTGTGTTAAAACACAGAATGAAACACAACAGTCTTTGTTCTTCTTTCCTGCTGGATTGTTTATAGGTGAATAGTGGTTGAGTTGAAGAAAATATTTTCCCTGCATGTACAGTCACTGCCTGAGTTCTCAGTAGAGAACATTATTAAAAAGATGCTTTTAGGGCCGAACTGATTTCATGAGAATGACAAGGTGGGATGATTCCTAGGTAATGACTTTGCTGACTGGTTCAAGGCCGCAGTGCTGCTCGCTTGCCAAGAGTTTTTTTCTCAGGCCTCAATCAAATAGGTCTGCGAAACTTGTGTCCTCATCAAAAAAACAAACATTCATGAGAGAGGCTCGCAGAGAAGTGGTAATGGACAATTATCAAGGCCCCTGAGCTCGTTATGGGGGATGCTGTATGTTACAATGAAGTATCCCGGATAACTTTTGCAGCTGTGATCAATGTTGGAGCATGTTTTGAGTGTATGGCACTGCATGTTTGGGTGCCATAATGCAATGCCTTAAATTTAGAGCAGCATTGAGGACTTGAGATCGTGAATAAAACTGTTGACTCTGTACTGATCAGCCCCTGATGGTACTCCTGGGAATGTGCAAATCAGGCCTTGAGTAATGCTGTCTGGCTTTGGTTCCTAAGAAATAAGGTGTCTCAATGCTTACGTGTTCATTTAAGATCGCACAGCTGCCATCTGCCTCCCACAGGAAATGCTCTTCTTTCTGAAGTAGGCTAGGGCAGATTGGAGTACTAAGTTGGCCTGAACAGAACTAAACCCTTTAAGAAAGTGTTAAAAATGCATGTGTGCTGCATTCCATGTTGTAGAAGGTGCATGAAGTCACAAAGCAGTTCAGCAAAGGGTTGAAATGAATTTCAATTTGTTAAAAAAAGGCCAATTTCCAGAAGCCACCCAAGAAGACACTCACACGGTGTATCCCCAGTGGTGCTTTGAAAGTAGACTGGGTACAGCTCTGGTCAGCTGAAATGTCACATACTCAGGCTAGGTCAGGAACTCGGGTCAGGTTCTACAATTTCCTCTAAGCTACAGCACAGAGCATATTTCAGTAGTTTGGTTCGATAATAACGAATCCTAACAAAAGCAATAGAAGGACAAATTTATCGAGGGTTGTGTCAACTCACCCAGCTGTCAGAATTGGCGGCTGACAGTAAGAACAAGACTGAAGCACCTCACGTTCACGAGGAATGAGCCAGGGAGCTGCTGCATGAGTGCAGATGAGGTAGCAGGTGGGGTGTGAGAGAAATGTGCAAATGGAAGCCAAGAATGTATGACATATGTATAACATATTGACACCTGAAGAAGGCTCCACGGCCGAAATGTTGTGTTCTCTTTCTTCTTTTTTTCAGCATGGAATAAACATATTACTTGTTCCTTTGCAGCCTACGCATGCTGACGCAGCTACCCACCTGAACATGTATGACATATATATATATACACAGTATGTGTGTGTATAGGAGAGCAGAAGTAGGTAAAATTAAGATCTGTTCTTCCTCCCAAACATCTGATAGAAGCTCAATTTAAAGCATTTTTTTTATTTCTTCAATTATACTATATGTGGTTACTGGAACAGGGTACAATGGGCCCTTACCCATCGTGAGCAACAGTAATCCAGTCTGTAGTCATGAACCTTGAAAATACTGTAGTCTGTGGTCATAAACTTGTAAATAATATGTACATATACATGCACTTACATGTCAGTTAATTCACAGTATTAACTCAACACAGATCATAATTTGAGCTTCAAGACTTTCACATCTTTTCTCCACTCAAAACCTCTTCTTTGGTTTAATTAAATTTCCCTCCTTTGTTTTGAGCTCCTTGATTTAAAGTCTTGCAAGAACATAGAATCTTCGAGCTACTGTATAACATATCAAAAGCTGAAAGGCATTTTAATTACCAGGGTCAGGTAAAAAAAAAATCATTGCAATTAAGAAATCTGCCAGTTGGATTAATGATGTGTGTCATTTTACAGCACTGCATTTTCATTAATATACAGTAGTTGCACATTTTAATAGCCCTCCTAATGCTGCACAGATAAGTGTTACCCAACGATACTGTATTAGCTGGGAATCTTTGTTGTTTAACTGCTTGTTTCATGGTTAACGTACAGTGGAAAATAGGTGCATGGAAAAAACACGCAGAAGTGCATTTCTGTGCATGTGAAATGAAAACAGGTCCTTGCTCCTGTTTTATGTCTACACTGCTGTTCATCATTTCTTCACCACAGTCACAAAAGACTTTAAACCAAGGAGATTTTTTTTCCCAATGACTGAAAGCTGCGTAGCTGAAAGAATTGATGAATAATCTGATGCTCAGTTGCACTCAGTGTCACACTAAGATTTCTATAAAAAGAAAAGAAAAAAAGAGCAGTTCTAGCCATACATCATGGAAACCTGTTTGGGTAGGATCACTCATTCTGCCGATTCTGTAACTGTGAACAGAGCCCTGGGGACTTGGGACTGAGCTGTGTGATTCATTTCAGTGGTCCCAATTGCGGGTAACTTGAATCAGTGAAATCTAAAAGCCAAGTATCCAGCCTTCTTTCTCAGTATTTTTAATAGCAGTATTAACAGCAGTGGTAGTTGCAGCTGCAATAATAGCAGCAGCTACAGTAGCGTTGTTTATCTTTTAATTGTGTGTTGCCATAAGGGCTTCAGCATTGTTTGTTGCTGTCTGACTCAGAGACTTTTCATCCTAGATCTCTGTCTCTATCTGACACCTGGTGGAAGGGACTTCATGACAAGCCAACACGCAAACATACTTTTAGAGGTTTTTCCCAGGCTGCACCAGTAATGTCAACCCCATGGTGTACTGTGGCTGTGCAGGGCCAGGCTGGCTGCATGCAGGGACATAGCAAATTTTATTTCTCTGAGGTTCTGACCTGGCACACAGCTAAAGCACCCCTGGCAGCTTCCGCTGTGCAGTTTGTTTACCATAGTACAGAACACAATTTGCATTTATATAAGGTTTTTCATTAAGCTCAGGTCTCAAAGTGATTCAGAAACATTATGAGTTGAGCTGAAACGTGGCAACAATTTCGCAGAAGGAGAGCAGGCAGAACCTGCAGTCATTTACTGGTTTAAACTAATTTATTTACAATGTTTTTTTAACAGGATTGGCATTCTAATTATTTACCTATTTGTATGATTATTTATTTTGTTTTTGCTGACTGAATCGTCAAAATAATTTCCGCTCTTTCCAGCGTTTCTTCATTCAGAGCAAGTCTAAGTGCACTTATTGATATTGTACAATGCAATGAGTTATACATGAATAAACTCAACATTACACACTGGATCTGTCCTTAATGCACTTTATGTTTAACCTAAATGCCAGTGCCAACTCATAAACATGAAAAGTCCGAAACGTGAAAGGAAGTACAGATGTAGTCTCTCAGATGTAATTTTTAAGTGACCTCTAATGTAGGGAACATAATAACTAACAAACATACCTCCCACTGTTTGCCTCTTGGACAAATAAGATGGAATTGAACCGTGCAGTTCATTGTAATCTGTGGCCTTCTTCTGTTGAAGATGATAATTAAAGCTCTGTTATCTAAAATTAAAATTCTAAGGCATCACCTTTCCTGTCTGTGTTGGATGACCCCCACTGTCACTGTCCGAACATGGCTTGGGTATAAACTCAACGAGGGCAGAACTCGCTGATGCAGCTCTTCATTGTTACGCTACAGTGTCTTGCCCTGGCAGGAAATGATTTACAGTATAATCGGCTACAGTAAATGAATTCATTACGGCGTGCGTGCATGAAGAGTGTGATTTACAGCACCATACACATTTTCAAGGGGATGTGCGGCCATCAGATGGAACTATTAAACACTGTACACAGCAAAGAGGCAACTGTGACAACCAACACGCAGTACCAGTGTTGTTGCATTCTGTAACCAGGGTCCTGCCATCTGTACTGAGGGTTTTGCAAAGTTCTATTGGTGGAAACAGTTTGCAATCACTTTCGTTCTGGGTTTCTGGCTGCCTTCAGGTCATCAAGTTGACGTTTGAGGAATTCGACCTGGAAAGGGGCTACGATACACTTACAGTGGGAGACGGGGCAGCGGTTGGAGACTCGAAGACCATCTTTCATGTGTGAGAAATCCGTTCCGCGTTTAAGTGCATTTGTACACTAGATACAGTAAAAAAAAATACCATGTGAAAGATCAGGTTTAGAATAGCAATCTGTAGTTCAATTTGTTTAAGTTTAGGATATTTTTTTTTTAATTACAGTAATCATGTAGGCAAATTGCATAGGTAATGGAATCTCAGAACAAACTTGTTCAACTATACAAAAGAAACCTTCTTTTCAAGTTGGGATCCAAGTAGACGTGCCAATGGGGTCAAGTCCTGTCTGTGGTTTATGATGTCTGACCGGGAAAAATATTCAGAGACATTTAACTTTTCACACTGTGGAAGATGAAAATACAAACATAAACTGTGTAGAGAGATGTTTCCTTTTATGCATCTATGTTTAGTTTGTTTATACAACAACCTGCAGGTGAATAAAGGTGCCTTACCTCCTTCATTTCAGATTATCAGGGACCACTACCCCTGACCTGGTTGTCAGCACCAGTCACCAGATGTGGCTCAATTTCAAGACAGATGACACAAGTGGGTCTCTCGGCTTCAAGGTGTCTTTTGAAGGTAGGGTGTAGTTTATATTTTAAAAAGCACGTGAAAACAGACTTATACTTTTGTTTTGCTTTTTCTTGAGAAATGCCACTCTCTAAGGTTGTAACTTCATTTCTGCTCTCTTCAGTTTAAGTTCCTGTTACACTATTTATCGTGTTTGTGGTCTCAGTGGTGACTACAGTATATTCCTAACATATTTGGAAAAATCTGTGAAATCCCCTAGGAGGCTCTTTGTTTTGTTAAAAGGTAAGTAAGAATTGGAAAATGTGAAAACACAAATTTCCTTCTCTACATGACTGGTAATGTCCACTAACACATAAACAAGTCAACAAGTGTTTAAGGTTAACTTGTATTAACTTGTGTTGGTTTCTGTTAGTCCACAATGAAACCGATTTTCTTGGGTTGATGTGATTAAACATTAGAGGTTACCTAACGGGGTCTGGGTTTCGTTTATTCCTCACTGTTTTGTTAGGTTCGTCCCTTGCTGGTTTGTTCAGTTCTTGTGCTATTTAGGATGCATTAGTGTGATTACACAGTATGTGACAGAACCCACAGGATACTTCATTCAGATGCAGAATGTGAAGCATGGACAACTGACTGCTGTAATCCATTGTTTTTCTTCTAACAGCAGATACTGTATAGAATGGTGGCTTTAGACTTAATTGATTATTTTAAGATGCAATCCATTGCAATTTGAAACTTTGAGGTTATAAAACCACCACTGACATAGAATGCATTCAATGAAGAAGGGAAACAAAAAAACACAGCAAGGCCCAACATACAGTACAGTATATCTAATGCTGTACATTATTTCACACAGCTAATGAAGATAACAACAACAACCGTCTACTGGAATAGTAGTCTACTGAAATCTCAGCCAAGCATCTTATTCCAGTGGCCTTGCATGAGATTTATGTTCCACTTCCATGACACACAGCATCAATGAAACCTCAATCATAGCAGCCTCTAAGGAATATGGTGCAGATAGCTGGCTAACATTACACCCTGCAGTAAGCAACACAATCCCACCACAGGAGAAAAATCAGCAACAATGACAATCACAATAAGACCTTTCCTATCACTCATACGGGAATCCTTTCTCACTTTGTAGCAGGTATGTCTTTAAATATTAAATTTATAAAATCTCACCGTAGAGAAAGAATCTGAAATATAGGCAGAAAATGCAAAGTGTTAAGGCTCTTTCCTTTTCTTGAATACAATTTTAAATATTTCTGCTTGCCTGGCTGATTGGGCTCAGTGGCCCCTGACACAATATTTAAGACCAAGTGTTAAGGCCAGCCTCCATCAACCCCTGTCATTGGATCTGACATCAGCAAAGCCGCCTGATTTCCCTTGTGCCTCTCTGAACACTGCTGGACAAGTGTTTACTTTAAACCAGAGAAATCTGTCTTAAAATCCCAATATGACACTTTTCTTTTAATCCCCCAAGTTTTACCAAAGTTCATTTTCAACCATGTAGTTTGTTATTTTTAAACGGCTTTTAATGTTTCTGATTAAATGTTTCTTTAAATCCCCCTGCAGGCACAGGACTGAATAACTTAACATTTAGTTTCCAAGTTACGTCTTCTACATTTCCTTAATGGCGACAAGGCACCCTCTCTCTCATCCAAATTTGTTTCGACCCCAATTAAACACTGAGAATAGTGCTGTTTCCCAGGTGAAAGCTCATTTCTTAAAGCTTGGGCTTAAAATATCGCTCTTGCTCTCTGTACTGACTCTTCTGTCTTAAGGAATCTGTTTTTAAATCTCTTTAAAACCTTTTAGCTGTTTACTTATAGCACTTGCACTATCAATCATCATTAAAAGAGATTATTACCATTACAAATTCTGAAATGTTAGATATAATTTAAAGCAATTTAATGAAACACAATTATTTTTTAGCCAAGCCATTATCTAAATGCACATCTCAAGGTTATTCAATGCTCCAGATCAGCTTGCATTTGCTTTGTACTTTGAAAGAACGGAGCTGCCAAGCAGTGTGACCGAAGTGCTCACTGTCTTTTCTGTGAAAGACATCTAGGGTCTGTGAGGGTTACATGTGACAACCCTTTTCATTGTCTTTTTTCTTCAGATATCTGAAAGTAACTAGCGATGTTAATTTGATATCAGCACGAATCAAATGCTTTAAAAACCTCATTTGGAAGTGAAATGTTAGTTTTGCAAGTAAAATCAAATTACTTTGCAGATCATTATTATAAACATACCTTTTTTTCTGCATTATACAAGCCCCAGGCAACCATGGCAGAAAAAAGAAGAGACATGGAATGGTAAATAGGTAAAACATCCATAGTGATTGACACTGGTAAGCCAGTTCACAGGAGAATCTTCGCTGCTGGCATTAATCCAGCTGCTGTTCTGTTTGTTGTCCATGTCAAACAAGGTGGCAGGCAGCCCAGTTTGGTGCAGAGACCTGGATCAGTCAGGACGTTTTACTTTCCAGCTCCATTCCAGACATCCTCGGACATGGCAGGCAGCTTGCATGCACAACTCTGAAACCCTCCTTTGTGACGCCGGTTTCTGGCTGCTGGAGAGCAGCATGATTCAAGATGTGTCGTTCGGAAACCTTGTCACTTGCAACAACAAGGAGTTGGAAGATGAATCTACATTTGCGTGTGTCACTTCTCTAAGGAGACAGAGATCAAGAACAACACTAATCACATACGGAACAAACTCAAAAATGCGGATGTGTTATGCAAGCTTTAAGGGAAATGTGAAATGAGCTATGTCAAACTAGCAGTGACAAATGCATCACATTTCCTCTGTATTGCTTTTGTGTTCAGTATGTTGGATGGGTTGGTATTTGAAACCATGGATGGATAGAAAAAACAAAATTACCCTATTAGGTGGTCTGAACAGGACATGAAAATAAAACCAGTGAAATAAGAATCTTTTTTAATCCTCACACACATTAAAGAACATTTCATTTTTTCTGCAAACCTGCTTCTTGTAGTAGTCACCATCAAGATATCCAGAGAAGAAATGACCCTGCTTTTATTCTATTGCTGTTTCTCCCGGTAATTGCAGCAATAGTAAAATACTAAATAACTTTGAGGAGTTTGCTCACAAAGTACAAAAGTACTCCCTCATACACAGCACACGCAAAACCCAAATTTTGAGAGCAATGGGGTGAATGAACCCAGCCAGGAGGGTGTGGGAATGAAGCCCTTCCCTCTTCTTACACCTTCCTTTTTATCTCCTTTTATTTAAGCATTTTGAAATATATATATACTGTATATACTGTACTGTATGTATGTATTCTTATTCTGAAGCAAGAATTGTTCTGCATTTAATGTTATGGAGACAAAGGAAACCAAGAGTGATCAAAATGTGCTGTCTGGGCTCCTAGCAAAACACTGAGAGATGGGGTGCTGAGGCATGACACCTGAAACGGGTTTTGTTGGTTCCTGACAACTTAATTGCACTGATGTTTTGAGTGAGAGACACTCTCTGCTTTAATTAGGAGGCTTTTTGGCAAAGGGACTCTGTGAACTGATGCATGCTATAATATATTAATACTTAACATTTAACTGTTGTATAAGAAGGCTACTATTATTAACTTTGTTGTTATTATTTTTGTGAAGTTAGGTAAAATAATGTAATCTCGGTTGACTCATTTTTACATTAGCATCTAAAACACAACCTGACTGACATAATTCTGTTGACGCCTTATTCTGATCAACCCTTCTTGAAATGATATAAGTGAACAATCTGATACTGTACAGAAACGAAGACTTGTGTTTATCCACTGTTATAAAGGAAAAGGTTGTAGTTAAAAGGTTAGTTGGAAAAAAAGATAATCATAATCACTCAGACACATTTTATCAGTTTCCTGTCCCCTTTTTATGAATACCACTACTGTATTGCATTTCCTCTTCAAGTTTGCTGTGAAAAAGCCAAGCAGTGAGCAGGAAGTCCATACGGAGAGACTGTGATTTAGAAGCAGGGTAATAGTCAGAAATGAGATGGTCACTAGACCATGGCCACAACTGGGTTTCACTGGCTGGCGCTGCAGACCATAGCCTGAATCTGAGACAGATGGAATAAATATTGATAAATTACGTGGGATTTATTTACTGCAAAATCATTGGGAGACATTAGGTTGCATAATATGCCACATTTATTATCATGTGTAGCATGGATTCTAATGTCTGTTACTCACTATAGCCAGTAGCATGCTACATTGCATACACTTAAAGGCAAATACTGCAAGAAACTATATTAATCTGAGACTGTACATGTTGGCTTAGGACAGATATTCCTGACAAAAAAAGATAACCATAAAGTCAGTTACTTTGCAATGACATAAAAGACAACTTATGTAATTGCAGCTGGCTCACATTTTTAAAAGTAGAATTCTCATGTTTTCACGCCTCCCCAGTTCTGACTCACCAGCTGTTAATAAATTTGGCTTTCCTTCTCTAGTCCCTGTAGCAGTGCAGGGTGAGCTTAAATCGTTCCCGCTTTCCTCTTTTGCCAGAGCTGTCTACTCCTTTTCATTATTTAAATCCCATAGTGCCTGCAGGGAGTGAACCTCAAGTGGGAGTGCAGCCCTTACAGATGGTGCTCAATCTTGCAGACCCCCAATGCAGACCCTTCAGATGCCTTTTCAGATAGTCGGGAATCTCCCAAAGTCCATCAGACTCCTTAAAATGTAAACCTGTTGGGGTTTTGTAATGTGCAATATATTATAGACCAGCTGTGAATGCCTTCCTGTTTCTCTGCTGAATGCAGTTTCTAAAATTAACCTGCTTTCATCTGTCTGTTTTTTTTACTCCTCTTATTGATTCCCCGATTATTTCATAACTCCTCTCATTTTATTAATTTTCTATCTACTAACGTGTATCTCTTTATCTTTTTCCCTCTCCTCTTACTTCTGATTTGTGTGTTGCTACCATTCCCTTCTTATGTCTGTTTTTTCCTGTTGTGCCAGCAATTCTCTTTTACTTTACAACACTGACAAAATCAATAGTTATTTTCACACCGTCTCTCACTGGGTAGTTGGTTGAGGTATTTTACAAATAATGATTTTGAATTCCCTTCCCAGTTAATTGGTATTTGCAAATAAGCAGGATTATCTAACTGTGGCACAGGGGTTCCAATCCAGACCAGTGTGCCTGCACGTTTTCATTCAAACTCAGCTGTTATCAAAGCTAAATCAGCTACTTCCTGGATTTACTATCCTATTTAACAACTTCTCTCAGTGTTTCAGGTGCAGCTTCTTTATATCAAAACCTAAAACACCTGCAGACACACCTGCCTCTCCAGAGCCATCAGTGTTATATCCTCCTCTAGTGTATATGATAAAAACACACTCAATTTTTAAAGTACACATTAAGTAGCAATAACTGAATGCATAGAGCAATTAGTAGTGTTCTTAATATTTAAATTTGGAAACATTACCTTTTCATAGAGAAGAGGGTAGCCAAATTAAATGTGAGTAATTAAACCTTTTTCTCTCATTAAAATATTTTTGCAATTCATCTACTGAGCATATTCTTGCTTGTTTAAAGTTTTATTGGGTTCACATAGGTCCACAATTATTAAAGTTGCCCTCTGGTGCATTTATCCTTTCACATAACTTTGTCATCTTTTAGATTATTGCAGTTTTAAATTTCTTTATTACTACTATTAAAGAATCTCGGAAAAAAAAAAAGTTAAAATCCATTCAGTGCCCTCCAAAACAATGAGGACACCAAAGTGAAAAATCTGTGTGCAATTAAATGAATGTGTCCCAATGCTTATTATTGTTTTAAATCACTGGGCTGATCCCAAAGTATGTTTATGCTAATATTATCAAATATATACATATAATTGACCCAAAGTGAAACACATGCATTTATTTTATACTTCTTATATATATATATACTGTACACACAAACTTACCTTGCTGGATTTTAATCTCAGCCCACCTTTACTTATCCTACAGCTATAATAATTGTGAAAATTTTACCTCAACTGAAGTGTCCCAATGGTTTCCAATTTTCTCTAATACTTAAAAAAAGAATTAAAATGTGTGTCTAGATTGTGAATTTTTTTTACTACACATTCTCCTTTAAATTTTTTAGTACGTAATGAAATGTTGCGTCAAACTCCAATCCAACAAGACAAAAAGAAGACAAACTTTTTGTGTGGTAATCTTAGAATAAGGCAGCATCCTTGCCTTGGGCTAATTGAGTTTGATGAGTGAATTTGATTTATTTATTGCTCTGCTCTTCAAACGGTAAACAAACTCAGTTCTGCTGTTGGCACCAGGTAATGCCACCCTTGCCGAGCATAGACTGCCATTCTTTGTGTGTTTGGTTCTAATGCGTTCAAGAGCTTGTGTGGGACATGGCTTTGAAGAGCCCTCAATGAGAGAAGCAATGCGTTCTCCACCACCACCCAGCAGTCACACTGCCTCGCTGCTCTGACATTTTCTCTTTCTCTACATGGCCTGTGAAGCACACAGATAGAAACAATCCCCTTTAGTCAAGAGGCACAACCCATGACTCTGCTCACTGCACAGAGATAGGAATGGACTCTGAGCTGAGGCTGGGAACTGTGTTGATATGACTATAGCTTTTGCTGTGCGGTGTTTCTAATTATTTTTTAACAGTTTCAGTGTGTGCAGTCAGCATGGCAGTTTGAATCATTTTTCCACCAATGTGAACAGAGGACATTGTGGGCTTTACAAAGAGACTTTTCTGATGTCACTAAAGGACTAATCCTACTGTAAGACAGCAGTCCTCTTTATATGATGTAAGAGTTCTTAAAATATAATCATTGAGGTCCAGAGTGTTTTATATTTAGCTATGAAATTTACTTGGTCAAAGGGTTTGCTATTCACTACAGGGTGATTCATTGACTGTGACTCACTCCCAATCCTTTCTCTATTCTCACCCAAGAAATTGAGCAAGGAAGCTGTGGGGACCCGGGTATCCCCGCATATGGCAAGAGAGAGGGTTCGGGCTTCCGTCATGGCGACAAGCTCCACTTCGAGTGCCTCCCAGCCTTCGAGCTGGTGGGAAGGAAGAATATCACCTGTCAGAAGAACAACCAATGGTCGGCCAAGAAGCCCAGTTGCGTGTGTGAGTGAGAGATTCCTCAAACCAAGCTAGTCTGTTTCTCCCTTCCTGGTTGTCTCTCTTTCTCTACCCAGACTCTTTGCTTCCACTTTTGTCTTCTACCCCGTCCTGTCTTTGCCTCCACGACCAATGTCCCTCCTTTTTCTCCGTCAGTCTCTTTCTCTGTCCCCCAACCCCTTCTGTCCCTCTCTGGTGTTTGCTCCCAAAGTAGCTTTGCCTCTTTTGCCAAACCCTACCTCCCTTAACTCAAGACATGCTGTTTTCTTCCATTTCCTTCTATGCATTTTGCCAAACACTCTGCTGTAAATTGTTTGTGTTTTACTTTAATTGCCTTTTGCCTTTTCTCCTGCACCCCCTGTCTTCTCCTCTCTCTTCCGCTGCCCCCTCCTCCTGGAGCCTCTCCTAGCACAAACAAAGGTGTCCTGTCTGGAGCCGTTCTCTTGCAGATCAAGCCTTACTGAGATCAGGCTGTTGAACAGGAGCTCCACTGAGACATTATGTTACACTGTCTGCCTCTCGTTGTCAAAGCATCTTCCCCTGTCAACACCCCAACTGGCTTTTTATTTAAAGATTTGTTTATTTTAGTGCTCCTCAGTCACATTAGGCTTCCAAATAGAAGCCAGCTGTCTCTTGCTTTTTCTCCAAGGATATAAACTTCATATTCTATTTATCCATCCATTTCTCTATCTATCAATTTAACAATCCATCTACTGTATATACGTAGTTACTCGGTTGTCTGTCCTTCAGGATAAGATTGAGCTGTAGAAATGGGTCTGCAGATGTTATAAACCAAGAGCGCACAGCATCGATTGTGTTATCTGCATTAAGTCTGTACATTGCTGCCATGTATTTTAAGAACTCACGATGGCCAGTTTATTTTACATCTATACATCTGTGCAATCTAATGCCTGCTAAAGATGCATTTTAAAAATTAAATAAAGATGTATTGATTCTCTTTAGCTTTTTGTACTGATAGTGTGGCTCAACTAGCAAATTTACTTCTTAAACACTTTTATTGATTTGTTTAAAAGCTTCTATTGCTTTTTTGTATATATGTATGTCTTTCATAATAGTAGATTTAGCTGCAATTCCTTTTTCATTCATTGTTGAGAAGTGCTTCTAAATAAAGACAATTCTCCTCTCAATACATGCAATTCTGGGGTCATAATGGCATTGCTATTCTGTGAACTCAACATTTTTAGCTCTTTTGCACTATAATGATCATCAACTAGAGCTCTAGGCCCTTGGGTCTTGGTAAAAGTTTGAGATCATCAGCTTGAATTCTAAAACTATTTCAGAAAAAAAAGTGGTTATTTGCCTACTATACAATTAAAGACAGCAATATTTGCTCAAAATATTTAGAGGAAAAGCTGCCATGACCACATTATTAAAGTGCAGTATGAAGGTGACATTCTCACCCTCATAGCCTGATAACATTTGTCTCATTTTGTGTTGGAAATTAAACAGATCCTTATTTTGTTTTGTATCACAGAAACTCTCCTCACAAATGTCCTTTTTTAATCCCCTGAGTTTAATAAGCTTGATCTGTATTATCTGTTTACCCTTGACACTCTGTGCAAAATGGGTATGCAAGAAAATTTAATTAGAAACCCCATTAAAAGTGAGTCAATAGATGATAGTTTATATAGCACGATCAGTACACAGCTATATGTACTGAGGCAGTTATTGTCAGATTCTTGATAGATTAGTGATAAATGCGGTAGTAACCAAATAGAAAGTTCTCTCAGCTAATTTTGAATGATTCACAGCCACCTTCCTTTTGTGTTTTTAGCTGGCTATGATAGCTTGGGATTGAGATCTCTCCCTAAAATGAGTTATAATTAGTTCAAGGTGTTTCAACTATTCCATTTCTTTCAATGCAGCAGGAAAAGATTGTACTCCTTCACTATTGAGTCTACATTAATGAGAATCATTAAAGGGATTGTGTGATTAAGTACAATGATGTCTCCTTCCAGTGTCTTCTAGCTCAAATTAAGATTGAATTAGGCCCAGTTTCCATCACAGCCCAGCAGTGCAGGAGACGTTCTATAAACATGACTCCTTGCAGTTGTGAGATGCACTGGACGCAGCCCTGTGTATAGGGCATGCATAGGGGAAAGGCTGCACACTGAAAGCTAATATCATTTGTTATATCCCTCTCCTTGGTGGAGCCAAGCTGATGATAAAGCCATAAATCAACACAAGCTCCAGAAATGGTAGGACCTCTGCTTGGGTTAACTCTCCCTCGACATGCCTGCCTTTGCAAACATCATTTGAAATAACCTCCTATGGCTTTGCCAGCTGTCGGAGTTCCTCTGACCAGGTATTTCTTTTTGTTCCAGATCAGGCTTTGCCTCTGCAGAGTTGTTTGGCTGCTTTCATATTAAAATGCATCATGTGTATTATGTGTGCCATTTCTGCTAGCGTGCACAGTACAGATTGTTTTTTTACTTTTATTGGCCCTTTTATGTACTGTACATGATCAAAATCTGAAACATAATTCATCTAAAAGCAATTAGCATTCTTTCCTCCCTTTCTCTGCCTGCCCTTTTACCTTGGCAGTAGTGCTGCTCAACTCGCATCCAGCAACTTAATTCTACGTTGATTCTGTAAATGATCAATTAAACATTTAAAGAGTTGGAGGGGTTTTGAGCAATCTCTGTCATGGCGTTGAATTCGGAAAAGCCTGAAGCTGAGGAGCTCTTCTCTATAGGTTGAGCTTACTGTCTCATTATTCCTCGAAATAACCCATTGCTTCTCTTTCATCTTACCTCCTTTCCTTCTGCACACAGTCTCCTGCTTTTTCAACTTCACCACCCCATCAGGTGTGCTGCTCTCACCCAACTACCCCCAGGACTATGGGAACAACATGCACTGCGTGTGGCTCATCATCACCAAGCCGGAGAGTCGCATCAACCTGGCGTTCAACGATCTGAGCATGGAGAAGCAGTTCGACTTCCTGTCGGTGAAGGACGGGGGCAAAGCCGAGTCGCCCATCCTGGGGACCTTCTCTGGTGACACGCTACCCTCGCCCCTCACCACCAGCGCCCACGTGGCCAGGCTGGAGTTCCTCACTGACCACACCAACACTGACCGCGGCTTCAACATCACCTTCACCAGTGAGTGCAGGGCCAACCAGAGCTGTACTGAAAGCCTTGTGTAGACTAATGTGAAAGCAGGGAGGCCACTTGACGGATGCCAGTACAACTCTTAACGTCATGTTCGCAAAGCTTATCCTGAAATTAAATCCCAAACATTGATGCTCCCTGGGGAGTTTAGTATCTGGCTCTGTGTAGGCACATTGCTGTCACTCCAGATTGCTTTCAGCTGTAGTCATAGAATATTTTCTGAGAAAGCAGTGCAATGGTGTTATTACAGCACCACTTAGACTGACTTTTCCTGGATGCTTGTTTGAGAATTATTCTTGGTGTTACTATAATCCTAGCAATTTCTTATTCAAAACCCCTCGAAAAAAGTTCTGCGATGAATACTTTGTCAACACAACCAAAGCTAGGAAACAAATTGCATTAAAAATGTTTTATTTTTACACTTTACTGAAAAAGCAGAAAAATGAGATCTAAAATAGAAAAATGCATTTAGTGAGATTGTCACATTGGGGTTCTTTATCAAAATGATAAAGCTTCCCCTTCCAGGCTCTGAGTTGAGAAAAAAAGCTGCACATGTCTGGAAACAGCTCACAAAGCTTAATCTGCGGATCTTTTCTTTCCCCTGGAGAATAAGCACATGAGGAGGTGCAATATCAGCATCAAGTGTGGGGCTTGTGTCACAGTATCACACTGAGGCGCCTGGGGAGCAGTATCAGAAGCACACCACTTTTTACCTACATGACTCTCATCCAGAGACATTAACAACTACTGTACATTTTCAACATTAAATAACTACATACTGTACATAAGTAAAAATCATGTCTATTGAATCGATGTAATCATTAAATACATGGAAAATCTTAAATCTATCAATCGATAAGTACTGCATCTCTTAAGCAAATTGATAGACACTGTTATCTTAAATCAGTTAAAAATATTGCTTCCCTTAAATCGATTAATAAATACTACGTCTCTTAAATCGAGCTTGACAAAGCCTACTCTGTGTCTTTTGCACCATGTGGCTGGTTTGTCACCTGTATGAATCTGATGTGTTATATCATTCATGTTAATTAGGAAGACGTCAAACTCCATCCAGGAGATTGCTGCTGGCTTAATAAATAAAATTAGAGTGATGGATGAGGCAGGGACATGGTTTGGATATTTCAGATCCAGAAGAATTAATCATTGCAGTTTGTGTCAGGCATGCGACACTCAGACAAATAAACAAATCAATAAGCAAATAAATCAAAGAACCAATCAATTGATCAATCAGTTGATCTTTCCGGACACCTTTAGTAGTTTTATGTATACCTGATGATCTCCTGATTGGTTATAAGCATCCTTGACCTTTAAAGCAATACAGAAGTCTGGAAACTATCCTCCGCACGATTTGAGATTTAATTAATATAGCCTATAATTATCTAACATCCGCACAGGCCTATTCCTCAGAAAATCACATTTCATTGTCACTGATCCTCCTCTGACAATGGGATCATGTTTATTGGGTGTTTATACAGCTTTCTCCAGTCTTCTGATACACAGTGGGAAAACTGAAAAGTAACATCAAGAAAAGAAGTGCATATCTAATCTCCTTTCTCTCTCATACAACATTCAGAGAAATTCCAAAAGCAAAGACCTAACGGTATTGCCCTTAGGAAATGCAGAATATTCCACATACAGTACATGGTTGCATAAACCACTCTCTCCTCCTTTCTGGTTTCTCCCAAAACAATTCCCTCCTCATCTCTTTCACTCAGCATTCCGGCATAATGAGTGTCCGGACCCCGGTGTTCCTGTCAATGGGAAACGCTTCGGAGACAGCCTTCAGCTGGGCAGCTCTATGTCCTTCCTGTGTGAGGAGGGATTTGTCAAGACCCACGGCTCCCAGACCATCTCCTGTATCCTGAAGGACGGTAACGTGGTGTGGGACAACGCAGTGCCACGGTGTGAGGGTAGGTTGGGTCGCGCTTCACTTGTGATTGTGTAAAACACACGAGATTGTGTAAAACACACAGAATAAGAGAGTTAAAAACTCAAGTTGTATCAGTGCAGTGTAAGTAATGTATTATAATATATGTTATTATACTGTATGTAATAATATATTTACTTAGATACTTGACCGAGGATACAGTACTCCAATGTTTTACTATTTTAAAGTAATATCTTATTAGAATAGAATACATTAATATATCGGTAATAAATATATTAATATAATTATATACTGCATTATATTCTACTTAGATAAGTGTTAATAAAAAGAATCTTCACACCCACACCTGGCCTTGATAGAGGTGAAAAGGATAGACTTAAACATGTACAACTGAATTGAAATTATTACTGTCTCAAATGTAAATCTAAATGACTTTAAGAGTGCTACATAATCTTATAAATAGCAGTCTTATGATTGCAACATGTTGCAATATTAAAACAGGCAATCAACAGGTCTGAATTTAATTACGCTTTCTAGTGGAATAGGCAGCTCTGTTTCATTACGCAGAGTCTGTTTCAGCCAGTGGTGAATGCAGAGTGTCGCTAACAGAAATAAATACAGATGTGGCAGAGCAGTTAGCAGAGCCATTCGAAGCCTTTTAGAGATGAAAGCTTTGTCGACAGACCGTGATGTATGTGTACCATCGGATAACTAACAAAGGAGGATTCTGCCGGTTTTTTAACCGTAGGAAATGAGCCAGCTGGGAATATTTCCTAAAGAATTGTCTAATATTTTTATTCTCTGTTGTGCTGTTCCTGTGGTGCGTAGCCTTGGCAATTTTGTCATCCTTTGTTTAGTTTTCTGTTTCTTTCAAGTCCCTCTGTGTTTTTATTTTTCATGCAAGTCGAAGCACATGAAACTGATGTCTTTCCATTCCTTTGGTCTGCGTGTCAATAAGACATCTTAAAGCACTTCAGTGAGACTGTGAAAGCGCAGGGGAAGTAATGCAATGGATTGTGTATTGTGTTCTACCTCTAGATTCATGGTATTGCATTTTCTGCTCATGCTTTTTTAGTCTTTTGAAATACCAACACCTGAAACCCATATGCTATTTCACACTGTCATTTAACTCTTGTTTTTTCATGCTATTTTCTTCTATCTGTGTATGGCATTTCCCAAATGTAGGTCCTCCTCTTTATACCGAACACAATATCGCCATTAAAAAATATCAAACCATTTGCTCCTTATAATTAGCATTTTAAGGATACCCCTACTGTCTTCCACTATAAACATGCTTCTGAAAAACACAGTGGGTCTCACCAAGTGAGCAGGTCAGGGTGTCAGGTGGGTAGCTGTGTTAGCATGCGTAGGTTGCAAGTGAACAAGTAAAGGCTAGACTGCTAGTCTAACAGTCAAAGATTAAGTATTCTAACTTTTCTGTTTGATTTTGTAATGGAAATATTTTTTACTTGTGCAAAACAACATTTACCTTCACACTATTCAAAGTGCTGCTTTAGAGCTCCTTCACAAAAATGGGAGCTACCTGATCTTTGTACACACTGAGGTGCGGGCATTGGAGTATCAGTCGTCATGGACATGCCCTGTATGAACGCTGTGCTGTGTCCCCCTCACAGCACCCTGTGGTGGGGAGCTGAAGTCACCCAGTGGTATCATTCTGTCCCCCGGCTGGCCGGAGCTCTACAAGGAGGCCCTGAACTGTGAGTGGATCATCGAGGCTCCACCAGGATACCCCATCAAGATCATCTTTGACAAGTAAACTTCCCAATTCACGGTGCTGCATGTCTGTATGTCTGTGCGTCTCAGCCTGTTCTTCTATCACTGTATATCCTTTTCTGTCTGTTGCTCTAAGCTATCCTTGGAAGTTCCAGATGATCGTGTAGTTCAGGGGATGGGCAGTTCCCCATGGCATGTCATGCTCAGACAAACACAAAACCTTTGTCTGTCATTTGGAGATTTCAGAGTGGTCAGGCTTGCTGTGGCTGTACAATCAAATCCCCACTAGCTGTTACACAGATCTCTTTACATGTAAGGCTAACCTTCGAGGACAACTGTGAAGGAATGAATGAGAACACAGCAGGAATGTGTGGTACCTCTGATTTTATGTTGCATAAATAACACATTGGGTTCTACACTCTGTTGAACCTGCTGTACTTTGCTCGTTTTTCCAGCCTTTGATTCCATTTAAGTCGGCTGTATGATAATCATGTGAAATGGACAGAATCCTGCTTCAAGGAAAACAGGCAATCACAGTGCACATTACTTTTAAAGACATGAACAGGAGGAATGCCCATTGCCTGTGGAAAGCTTTCTGGTTATAGCTTTCTCTGTGGGTTAAATCTGCTTTTAGGACTGAATTGCTGTCCCTTAAATAACATGGAAAGTTCATGGGAGCCAAGCAGCCAGCAGTGCTTGTCTTCCTTTACAGATGTCACTCCTCTCTGCCGATTGGTGGCAGCCAGAAAACCTTCCAGGTTTTTACTAAAACAAAATATTTTACTGGAACAAAAAACAGAAAAGGTCATTCTATCCCAACCTTTACTTTTTTATTATTATTCTTGCTGTTGTTGTTGTAGTTGATATTGTTGATTGTTGTTGTAAGATATTGGTTAAAGTATTTCCTAAATAACATCCAAAGGATAAAAACAGACGTTATTCTCCAAAGAACACGCTGCATTTGGATAATGTTGTGTGTGATTTTCCAGGTTCAGGACAGAGGTGAATTATGATATACTGGAGGTACGGGATGGGAAATACCCTTCTTCTCCACTGATCGGAAGCTACCAGGGCACTCAGGTCCCTCAATTCCTCATCAGCACCTCCAACTACCTCTACCTGATGTTCTCCACAGACAAGAGCCACTCGGACATTGGCTTCCGGATCCGATATGAGAGTAGGCATTTCCACAGCTGGAGCTGAACAGAGCTGGGGACAATCACTGAACTGCTGCCTACCTAATGCCCACACACACTGATGAGCTGCTCAGTTCAAAGGGAGACACAGCCAAGATGTACTGGGTGTTTGGAAGACAGAATGATCCTGGAAATTTATTAAGAAATCTATAATTTTGTTTTTCAAACACAGATGATGCAGTACCTGTCACCCACTCAGATCTTGTCTTAATTACACCAATTTGATGCAAGCCAATCCCATTTAAAGGAAAGAAGTTTAACTCATAAATAGTTTAAGATTATGGCACTTTAATACATCTCTTTTCACAGGGAATCTTTTATTCTTTGTTCCTAAATAAATAGCATGCATACAGTAAGCAGTGTAACAGAAAACCTCAAAAAAGGTTCCAAATCCTTTCTAATGCTGACCAGTACAGCAAGTTTTATTTACATACATATGTTATTTTGCATTTCAAATGTTTGTCTTTTCTGGGATGTAATCCAAATGTGGAAATTATTCATTACACTGCCATTCAAGACAAAAAAAAATCAAAATCATATTGCAATCGGGACCCAAAACTGTCTCTTTGTTTTGCACAGCGGTGCAGCTGCAGTCCGATCACTGTGTTGATCCCGGTATCCCCGTGAACGGCCAGCGCCATGGCAATGACTTCTACGTCGGCGCCCTGGTGACATTCAGTTGTGAGTCCGGCTACACTCTGAGCGACAACGAGCCCTTGGAGTGTGAGCCCAACTTTCAATGGAGCCGCCCCCTGCCCAGCTGTGACGGTAATCTTCGGTCTTGGAGATCTGTCAATGCATCAAGACAGTGAATCAATCAATCAATACAGTACATCAAACAAATACAGTAGGACAGGCCACAAAAAAACAAGAAAGACGATCTTGCAATTTCCTGTTTCAGTAGTGAGCCTGAGCTGCAATGAGTTGGATTTTGGCTGCATGTCATCGTGAAATGCTTGAAAAGCCTGATGTTGCAGGTATGTTGTATGTACAGGTACTGACTGCAGGACTCAAATTCTTCTCCCTCTCTCATTCTTCCCTCTGAAGCTCTGTGTGGAGGGTACATTCAGGGATCCACAGGCACCATCCTGTCTCCTGGTTTTCCTGACTTCTATCCCCACAACCTCAACTGCACCTGGGTGATTGAAACATCCCATGGCAAAGGTGAGACTAGTTCCTTTGCAGAGTGCACTTCCTCTGATTGTCATGTGTACTGTATACAGTACACAGTATGTTGTGAGGGACAATACAAGTTCTGTTGTTGTTTGAGCCTCACTTACAGTAGGTATAATCCTACAAAAGTAGGGGCTAATGAAAAAGCACTCCATTCCTTTCTGCACATTTTTCATTTTTTCCTTAGCTTTTTATTCTCTTCTTAGTGCTTCAGTCTCCTCCTGTCTCCTTTTCTCTCCCCACATTTATCCACTCCTCTGCCCTTGAGGATCGGAATTTGCACAAGAGACACATCTCTGCTTCTCTACTCATTTTCTCTCATCCTCTCTCCACATCATCGTGTCTCTTCTATCTGTGCCTTCCTCTCTCACTCTTTGCCCTTTATTGTCACTGCCATGGCCTCATACTCATTCTGTGTCATCACATGCAATCACCATTTCCACCTGCCCTTTCACCTCAGCTCTGATAGTGTATCACAACGACTCCTATACCATCCATCCCAAGCAGTAATCCTGTCTCCTTTTCTCCCCACTGCAGGTGTGCAGTTCAACTTCCACACCTTCCACCTTGAAAGCCCTCATGACCACCTGCTTATAACGGAGAACGGCAGCTTCTCCCACCCTCTGAAACGCCTCACAGGGTCCACCCTGCCCCCCCCACTCAGTGCCGGGCTGTACGGCAACTTCACCGCCCAGATCCGCTTCCTGTCTGACTTCTCCGTGTCCTACGAGGGCTTCAACATCACCTTCTCAGGTGCGGTGTGTGCTGAGCACACTCGGGGACAGCAACAGGATTCAGTCCTTCCTGAAGCTTCATGTCTATCTCTTTAGACCAAATCTATCAGAAGAAAGCTGCTTTTATCAAGTCTCTCTTGTAACACACGTTTCAAAAATCAATGACGAATTTATCATATACAGTATATATTTGATGCTTGCCACACTTTGCAACTTTATCCAGCTGTAGTGAATAGGAATGGAAGTGGAATTGACATTTGATGGATTTAATATTTGTTGCTTTTGTTATTTTTATCTGGACTGCACTGGGACAAATTTCAGTCGCCATTGCTGACATGACTGTGAAGTATTGAACTGAACTTTACATGCTTTTACACCAGAAGCTGATTCCTCATGTGACCTTGCGAGTGAGCTCCATTCCTCCTCTTCTATGTGCCTTTCAGAGTACGAACTAGAGCCCTGTGAGGACCCTGGGGTCCCTCCGTTCAGTACTCGCAAGGGGTTGCAGTTTGGGGTGGGGGATGCCTTGACTTTCTCCTGCTTCCCGGGGTACCGTCTGGAGGGTCCTTCTCGGGTCACGTGTCTCGGGGGTCGGCGCCGGGTATGGAGCTCCCCTCTGCCAAGGTGTGTTGGTAGGTGGTCACGTGCTTTCATTTTGCTTGGTTGACATTTGATGTAAACTTGTTTTCTAAATTCAGACAAAGACATGCTCAGGAGCTCTCCCCAGACTAATCAAATACTGCCACCTGTCAGTCCATCCCATTCCAGGACTTTGATACGGCTATCTTTCCGAATCAGATCAGCTAATTACCTACTGTAACTATGCAGCAGGTTGTACCAAAGCTCTGCATTTGAACAGGCTGGAAGGCTTGTTTTTTTGGCTCTGCCTGAGCAGCCCTGTGCCCTCATTTTTGCTGTCTCCTCTACTTTCCTCCAGAAACGAAAGATGCTGACAGCTGTAATGAAGTTTGAAAGAAAATCTCGCAAGAACTTATTTGCTAGTTTCCCCCAAATACGTTATAAAATTGTGCGTGACTCTAGGCTTAAAAAAGCAATTTCTTAATAAGATGGTTTTGTAATTTACAGTAAATTAAAATCATTTATTTTGAAATGATTTTTTTGCAGTCTGGATTATATTATCTAGATGTTTATGGTTTTTGGGGGCAGTAAGTCAAGATAACACAGATTTATAAATAAACATTTAGATTAACTTAAATGAAGTGTTTTTAGCTTTTACTTAATATTCTCAAGAGCGCTTATCTATTTGTTTTTTTCCATGTGTAATTTGTATTTGACAATAATAGAAAAATGGGAAAACTGAAATTTTATTTAAGAAGCGGAAGTAAATGGACACTTTGAATTGCAGGAGGTGGTTCATTACATTACTGATACAAGCTTTCTTTCCCATTACTGTTTAATAAAACAATTTCTAGCAGCAAAGACTACATTAACATTGCTGTTAACATACATTAAGGGGTCTTCTAAACTGAACTGTCTGACAAATGGCCATTTTTATCCTCATATCCAAATGAGGCTCTCTTTCTCTAATTTTATTCTTGACATATACAGTAACAATATTCCTTTTATCAGGAGGGAAGAACTTAGTACACAAGTAAACTTTTCCTTAGTGTAGGAACAAGTAATCCATGCTGAAAAGAGAACAAAGAAAACACAAAGTTTCGGCCGTGGAGCCTTCTTCAGGTGTCCTGCAGGCCCTGTACTGTACCTGTGTTCTCCACAGGGGTGCTGCAAAAGAGCTCAGTGAACCTTCCCTTTACCTAAGTGTACAGTATGTTGATTTATGCACCTTTATCTGCTTGCTGCCATGCAGTCAGGATCTTGAAGCTTAAGCGTGTGAGAGTGTGTACTTGATGCTTGGGGTGGCATTGAAGTGAAGTCTTTGGTGTCTCCCCACACAGCGGAGTGCGGCTCATCTGTGACTGGCACCCAGGGCGTCCTCCTGTCACCCAACTACCCCGCCTACTACAGCAATAACCATGAGTGCATCTACTCCATCCAGACCCAGCCGGGCAAAGGCATCCAGCTACGGGCCAGGGACTTCAGACTGGAGGGAGGGGATGTACTGAAGGTGAGATGGGCTGCACTGCAGCTCTGTACCTGTGTTCTCCCCAGGGGTGCTGCAAAAGAGCTCAGTGCACCTGCCACGTCTTTTGAGGGCTATCGCAGTTTCCGTGCATAACGATTGCAGTAGAAGGATGTGTGTGGTTCATCTCTCCATGTCCCGGCTCGGATCCGATCTCCGAGCATGCACGATACCACTCCATAGAGAGCAGATAACTCCATCAAGCCAGAAGAGCAAGTATTCTAGTATGGCAGAGCCCTGTACTGTCTAGATCTTAGAGGGGAACAACATTATTGCAACTTGCTCAGTGCACTGAACCCTGTCATGTGAGCGGACAAAGCTAATTGCATTGTGCCTTTGGGCTCAGATTAAAGCCTCTGGCTGTGTTACAGGTTTATGATGGGAACAGCAACCGTGCCCGCCTGCTGGGTATTTACTCTGGCATGGACCTGCTGGGACTCGCTCTGAATAGCACCTCCAGCTCCCTGTGGTTGGAGTTCATCAGCAACACCCAGAACACCAGCAAGGGATTCGAGCTGCACTTCACCAGTTAGTGCCTTTCTCCTTCTCTTTCTACTCTTGTCTCTATCTGTCTGGGGAGTTTTGGAATTCCAGAAGTAGACACAATCTTAGCTTGTGAAGAAATTGGGTGATATGTTTCTGTATTTCCACTTACATTGTCCTGTACATTTTCTTGGCTTGTTGTTGTTGTTGAGCACCAGACAGCACTAAATAGGCTGCCACGTTTGTCAGTCCCTACAGAGAGGGTGATTAAAGACTATAGTTTCAAAACTAAATTAAAATGAAAACTTTGGCCCACATCCTAGTTCCAAACAATAGGACCCAGTATCAAGTGGCACCTAGGGCTGTGTTTGTAATTTATGATTTTCTGGTGAAGGCTTTACTTTATCATTGTCTTAGAATACCCTCCGTGACACTGCTGACTTAATTTCCTCTCTGACTCCAGGTTTTGAGCTGGTGAAGTGTGAGGACCCTGGGGTGCCCCAGTTTGGCTACAAAAAAGAGGACAAGGGTCACTTTGCAGGCAGCACCGTGTCCTACAGCTGTAACCCTGGGTACACGCTGAAGGGCAACGAAGTCCTTACTTGCCTTACCGGAGAGAGGCGGGCCTGGAACAGCCCTCTTCCACACTGCGTAGGTAAGAGAATCCTGCAGATTGGGCTACTTATGGTTATACAGTTATGGTAAACTGAGCATCCACTCTGATACTTTGACAGCCATTCATTGCACATACAGTAGTAGAACAAAAAACAAGAGAAAACTGCCCAGCCCATCTGAATCATTTGTGTTATTTAATGGATCCTACACTTCTTGGGTAGCTGGTTCCAGACTTAACTCCCTCAACTGTGTTAAACCAGTTCAACCCATTCTCAGTCTCAAACACACTTCCCATTACTTTCCACTAGTTTGTGTTTCACTGTTGATCTTGGAGAAATCTATTGGATTTACTGCACTTCTAAAGATTATGAATACTTGGTATTTGATACAGGTGAGCTCATAGTCTTTGCGGTTCAAGACAAAAAAGATTCAGTACTTTACACCTGTCAATGTAAGACATCCCTTTAAGCTTGGGAATGTACCTTGTTGCTCTTATAAGGACAGATTCCAAATTGAATCCATAATAATGTGTGTTATGTATTGCCCTGGATTTGTCATGCCATAATGAGATCTTTAAAATAAGTGATCCCAGGAAAACAGACACACAAATGTAGCTGTAAGGTATAAAGCAGTGCAGTTTATTTAATGTGAGACAAATAAAAGGTAATAAACAAAAATCTAGCTCCTTCATGAACTGCTTTTTTGACTTCAAGTCCCTAACATACCAGGCAGATTCATAAAAACACTCAATCTCTCTCCCTCTGAGGTTTCCCCCAAACTCAGACTTTCCACAGTCAGTCATCAGCATCATCATCTTCAGTCAGCAAAACAAACCAACCCAGAATCCGCTGCTTCCTGGCTTTTAAAATGTCACCTGACCAATTGCCTTCCAGAATCTGGTCAGGTGACTCCTTGATGCTACCCAGCCTTCTTGAGAATGTGGTTCTGAAACGAATCTCCATTTGACCTGAACCCACTGCCCTCTTACAGAGGCCAAAAGAAACTAAGTGATGGGGAAAAAGTCTCCTGTGCTTCATGCAGTACATCCTCAAGGAAAAAAAACACTTGTTGCCTGGTTTCTGTGACTTTTAAACGCAGTTTTCAATCCAGCATACATTCCTGTTATTACAGCAGCGATTTTAGAGGCAAATTCTGAAAAGTAAAAGAAATCTGAAAAGGCTTAAGTAAAGTTATTGAACTCCTATTTTCTTCAATCTTACAACAGCAGAAGTGTTAACTTACTCAGTGCTTGTAAGAGTCAGAAAGCTCTATTGTTTCGCAACACTCTGAGCAGACTATCACCAGTATGGGTGAAGATGCCTCTGTTTCAGAATGATTAATTATCCTCAGATTCCCTTGACTGGAAATATTTGTCTGAGATAGAAAAAGCGATTAATTTGATCTGAACCATACTGGGCACTTGATATATGCTTTTGTTTTTATTTTTTTCTTTGTGTTTCTGAAACATTTCTTATATGCCAAAGTACTCATGACTTCAAAAGATGTCCCAAGAATACTTTTTATCTGCATTTTTAAAGTGAAAACCTGCCAACCATGTGTAATAAACATACTGTACATGTTGCAGAAGTCAAGTAATTATCCTTTTTACATTTATTGTTCACACATTAGTTACAGTGAAAGAATGCATATTCAGGTGGCTGAAGCTTGTGACTTAACAGATAAAATGTTCTGCTGTTTTAATGAAACCATGGTCTAGCGGGTACTTGAGTGACAGCAGTCAGGATGCATCAACATGGAAATAGGAGAGCTGTTTACTTCTTCCATTACAGAAACTCTCAGTCATCGAGGAGAGATCATCAGCCTTCCCAACATATGCTAGTGCCAGCAAACCGAATGTTTTGACAAGAGCTTTGATTATCTTCTCCGTTTGTTGAATAAAATAAGAAAACAGAATCTGATCTCCAAACCCTGATTTTTCAGTACTGAGGCTTTGCATTTTCTTTCAATAAACAATGAATGTACACATGAATTAATAAATACATCACTGAAAATCAAAACTGGCTAGTAACGGTTTATTTTTTAATCATTTATTTAGTATCACCCTTAAAATGTAACTTGTAGCTTTACTACTAGTGTTGTAATGTAACACAAGAGAGGCAGAGAAAGAGAGGGGAAGATGTGATTTTGTTTTTACCAGGTTGGATAGTAATTGGGGCCCACTTGCCTGTCTATTTTCCACAGCGGAATGTGGAGGTATCATTCGAGGGGAGACATCAGGGCGGATACTGTCGCCGGGGTACCCTGCACCCTACGACCACAACCTACATTGCGTGTGGACCATCGAGGCCCAGCCTGGCAGCACCATCGGGTCAGGACAAGCTCAGTGGAGCTTTCTTTAGTTCTTGATCAGGGATCTGAAATTGGAGAGCAACCAGTGGAATACAGTACATCAGGTTAATAGAGGGCCTGGTTTTGTTAAAGCTGGAGCAGGGAGCACCTTCGAATGATGTATTCAATGAAATATCGTGATGTACATTATGTACCTTTTGCTCAATGATTTGGTTTAATTAAGAAGCATTGCTTTTGAAAAGGACTGAAAAAGAAATTCATTTGTTATAAAAGTTTGGAATGGGTTCTGCAGCTGTGAGTTTCTTAAAGATTTTATTTCTCTGTTAACAGATATTTCCATAAATCATGGAGGTAAACAAGACTCTCTTGAACCTCCTCCAAATGTCCTAAGGAGTTTTAATGACTCAATACAGGGATTGTTCTGAAAATGAAACTCAATAAGACTGAATATTTGCAATCATCTTATTCTTATGTAACATTTATCTATATGAAAATCCTAAGAATATTGTTCTTTAAAAAAAAATCAAAAAGTGAAAAATGATGTCAAAATGGTATTTAAATGAGCACACATTTTAGGCCAGGGTAGGGTTAGGATTACAAGGACCATTAATTATTGTCTCCAGTTATAATTCTAGTTTCACTTTAAATGACACAATTAAGATACTGTAATTTACCCGATAGAACAGGTTGCCCTACAACTTTTTATCTGACTCAGTTTTGGGATACAATTACTGAAAGGTGCAATACCCAATATAAACAGATAAAACTATCCAAAAAATAAATTGAAGATAGGAACAAATTAACACTTGTCCTAAAAAGTTCACCTGGACCCTAAAATCCAGCACTGACAGTAAAAACTTCATCTGAGTAGTTTTGCAATCTGTCTCTGAGCCCCTCCAGGCATCAGATTTGAAAATCTTCCTCAATCCAAAAACTACTGCATTTAGCTATCCATCAGTACAACCCAGTGCAAAATGCTTTTTAAGAGCTATTTTAAAACTTCACAGTTATGGTATGCATCTTCAGTCGATGCCTTTCACTAATGTCTGTTCACTCCATGACAAAACTGACACCAGAGAGCTTGAATCAGAGGGGCTGGTGTCTGTCTCAGTCTTACAAAGTCAAATATCTGGAGCAGTACGCGTGTGTTAGACAGCAGTCAAGTGTGTGAAGACATTGATCGGCCGGCTTGAGTTTCAGTTCAGTGGATGCGCTGGATCGTGTTTTCCTGATATGCAAAATGTGTGAAAATAAAAAAGACCAGGCGTCTCCTCTTTTCCTTCACTCAGGCGTGAAGGCGGTGACAGAGTGACACAAACGTCATCTAAATTAAAAACGAAATGATCACTGAAGGAGCATTGCCACGTCATGTTCTGTGGATTCACAGATGACTTTCATCCTCTCTATCAGTTGCTGAGCATCCTAGCATTCAATTCCGATGAAAGGACATGGTGGCAGATATTATCCTGTTACACCAGGGGGATTAGCCATTCGGGGAAGGATGCATGTTTGTCAGGGGCAGCAGCAATTGTAGAAGTTTAATCTCCTGCATGATTTACAGATATTATCATGCTGGCAGTCCTACAGCTGACCTTATTTCAAAGTTGCCACTGTTATCAGTTGGTAAAGCAATACATTCAGATTAATTAACTGACACCTGTTTCCACTGCAAAAACATTTGAACCCGTCAGAACTGTTCGGAGCCTCTGTTTGCACGTTTTACATATTTAAACTGTGTGTGTACCAGATATTTCTGTCGTGTTTTTGAGAACTGTAATTTATGTATCAACACACCTGTGTTTTACTCTTTTTTTTTACTCTAAATTTGTGCGTTTCTAGGTGATGGGGTTAGATGTATTTAGAAAGCTCATAGATTTGGTACATAATCATTAGAGTTTTCAAAACTGGCTGGATTAAATATCTTTAAAGTGGAATCTGAGCTTCTCATTTCTACACTTGTTCAGTCCTGAATGAAAGGCATGCTGGCCTGTTATTCTCTCTCTGGTGAGTTTCACTGGCTGAAGGGACAGATGCTGTAATTGGAATGTCCAGCAGACCACTGTCTTTTTCATTATGCAAAACAGCCCTGAGATGTCAAGAAGGCAACATTAGAAGGGCTAAAATCCTTCTTGCATCCTCTGCTCATAATGTCGTGAGGGAGTTGTGAAAAGCACAGAAAGAAAACAGCCACAGTATAAACAAGAAAATATGTTTTTTTTTTAATATTTTATGTCACCTTGTTGTAACAGTGAGCTCAGAGTCTGCCTGGGGATTTGAGCAGGAGCATGTGTGATTGGTGCCAGAAAGTCAAGAGTCAGTGCTGCAGTTTATGAAAATGAATGTGTCACCACCGCAGGATTTATCTCTCCAGTATAAGCAACAGAGGAGCAGAGAGTATCGGAAACTGAAAAACGGGGGTCTGCAAAGGTTGTCTTTATTACTAGGAGTTTCTGTGGATTTAATAAGATGCTCTCAGTCATGCTAAACTCTTTTAGAAATGGAATCCTAGGCTAATCTAAGACCTGTCCTTTCTTATGTAAAATACTACATTCTTTTTTTAGAATGCTGTTTAGAATATGTGAGCAAAGCAGTGAGAAAGACTGTAATTAGGGAATTTCCATCCTGTGCAGAAGGAGGGGGATTTAAAAAAAGATCCCAGGTCCTTGCTATGAGACTCTGTACCGGAAATGAGGAAAGGAGGTCTGCAGTGCGTAGCGAGTCTTATTAAAATCACAGGAAGAGCAGTGATGTGGAGCTTTGACACAAGATAAACACATCACAACACGCATGCTGACAGGAGAGGACCTGTTCTCTGGGCCAAGCTTTGCATAGCAAAGGCAGATGTATCAGAAAAGAAAAGATGAGTAATGAGATAATTGCACAACAGGTCTAAAACCAAATTTGGTTTATTGTTTCCATATGATGCTGGTTACAGATGCATTAACATTGTGGCTGCTCCCTCTTCATTGGTCAAGTCAGGATATCTGATGAATAACTTCAAGTGATTTTGAAAAATGTTGTAGTGCGGTGTTATCAGTTTTGTTTTGTATAATTAGTACAAAGTGTGATTATTGTCGACCACAATCAGTACACAGTGGATAAGTTACTTTCTGCTCATTCGTCCTAATTCACAAGCAACCTAGAAAAGCAGAGTGTGCAGTGATTTCCAAATCGAGGACAAAAGCAAATAGAGAATGTTGTTGAAAAGAATCTGTATTTTTAAATAGCAGCAGGAACACTTGGCAGTCAGAGTCAGACACTTCTCCCAAGGCAGGGTGTGAGCTGGAAGGTGGTCTGACTACTGAGGCTTAACAGGACGTTGGACCTGTGATTTGGGGGTTTGTGAGAGTGAGTTTTCGCCCACTGAGATCCACTTGTCACAGTGTTTGTGGGCAGTCAGAGATTTCAGATAAATTGCTCCAGGGATTATCAATTCAGTTGCAGTTTCATCCTTGCTGGAGGTGTGTGAGGGCTGAACTGGGGTACAGTGTTTGAATAAGGGGAGGAGGTCATGAATTGAGCGAGTGTACTACTGCCGGTGCTCACCTCAAAATGTTTGTTTGCTTCTGCTTAAACCCATCAACCCGAGCGTTGGCCCTAGGTTGTGTTTTTCTTGCAGCCGTGTTTGTTTGCAGCCTGATGAGACACCAGGGAGCCGGCAGGTCTGAAAGAGAGAGTGAGTCTCACACTGGCTGGGCTGGGATCTTGCTCTGCAGCTCCCCCTCACGCCCCTCGCCCGTCTTCATAATTGTTTCCTATGGGGATGTGCGAGAGTGTGAGAGAGGTGGGGAGGGATGTTGCTGGGGTTTGCCTGGCAGATCGAGGTTAATTAAAAGCTCGATTTTTTTTCGTGCCCTGGCATATATAAAACAGAGTAAGGTATGCATATATATTCTTTTGATCGCATTGTGCACAATCAATTATTAAATATCATTTGCAATGCATTAGACTTGACTGTTTTTTTTTCTGGTACAAGGACACTAATAAGCTATGTGATGCTGGTTGACTATGTAGCTATGAAGGTACATGGGGAACTATTTTGTATGTAGATTCCAGTCTCATCACTAGCTGTCTGTCTTTCATCCTCTTGTTGTCAGGAAGGGAGCGGAGCCTTACATCCTCCAAACACGTCTATTGTTCCTCCTAAGTGATAATTACCTTGAACAGCCATTGCATAGCTAAAACCTACCAGTCCCTGTTACAAGCTGCCTTAGAATCCTTTATCACTGCCTTCACTTGGATCTGGGACTCATGACAAAAATACGACAAAACAGTTTGAAATTATTTTTCTCCAGGGTACCCAGCCCATCTCTATTTGAAAACTTGCTTATGAATGTGTACCCCTTTAAAAAACGATGTGTGTACTTTTCTTTTTTAACCTAAACTTTTTTTTCCTCTGTTTTTTTTTTTAATTCTGTACTAATGGGCTAAGGGAGTAATTTAAAACATTTCTTGATTTAGAAAACAAATTCTGACTAGACTCTTGCAGTGACCTAAGAAGATGTTCAAGAAAGCATCATCTTAATGGAAGTTTTCCACTAGAAATTAAGATTTTATATACATTCTGTTTATGGAGTAACTTTAGATTAACCTCCACCTCACTTTTGCAAATTTAACGGCATATTGTTTTACTACTTGACTGAGGAAGAAGCAAGAAAGCATCCATGAAATCACAAGCAATGATCATTGAAAACTGCTGAGTGACCTTTTTCAACAATAAGCGAGCACTGTTCATTTTCTGAAAGATGTTGTTAACGTCTAAAGGCATCAATCTTCTAGGAGAACACATAGAAGTTGAAAAGAGGAGTTCATTCTTTTAAAATGCCAAGATTAAAAAAAGAAAAGGTGATTCAGCCGTTATGATAAATTTTTTAAATGTGCTTTCCTTTTACATTTTGCACAGAAACAAGCACACTTGTAAATGTGCACAGAGGCACACACACACCTGTAACCAACAAACACACACACACTTAGAGTCACTCCTTGTCCTGTCCTGACTCCAGGGAGCACTTTGTGATA